ATGCCCTCCGTTTTCATGCCTTGCGGCACAAAGCACGGCTGCGTCATCTGATTGGTCACCGGCTGCTCGGGCATGTGCTTCACTTCGATCATCTCGAATGCCATCTTGGGTCGCCACGGATGCCGCTGCGTCGTCGCATAGGAGGCGGCCACTCGAGATGGCACCGTCGACCCACTAATGGGCTCCATGCATGGCGGGGCGCCAGCCTGGCTCCACGGCTGCAATTGAGAATACATGACGCTTTGGGATGGCAAACCTTCGTTTCCGTCGTGACCCGCCATTGTGATAATGGTTCACTAGCTAATTTAAATGGCACTTGGAATTTGGATTTTGCAACTAATATTTTTTAGAAATAAATAAATAAATTCTCCAACACGACATACAATCGTTCGAGACTGTGGAATGACTGAGTGCTTTACAAATTTATGTGAGCTCGAATCTGTTTTCCCAGACTCAACGCCTACTACGAATTTCTAGATTTTGAATGTGCTCGATTCTACAGTGCGAGGTGCTAGGGCTATACTTATGTGTGGATGGTAGTTTGATCAATGATACATATGATTCCATGAGATTGCGATGATCCTTGCGCTCTTTGTACTCGTTCCGATCCGCTGTCGGCCATCTGTCCAGCAGATTGTCCTTGACCAAGCGATGATCGAATTTGCGATTTTCAAGATATATGTGCTTTTGATTGCTGGTGATCTCAACACCTTTCAGCGGTGCCATTGTCGTCGCCACTTTATCTTCTTCTTGACTCACAATGGGCACACTCGAGCGCAATAGCAGATTCTTGAAAGTTTCGGGATACTTTTGAGGATCCCGTTTAGGCTGCCTTGATAGTTTATCCTCGTTGGCCCAACAGAGCATTTGCAAACTCAACAATAATAAAAATATATATTTATGCAATGGGCGCAACTGTTTTCTACCGCCCGAATTCCACAACTGACAAAGCTTTGCTGGAATTCTTATACATTGGATATTTACTAGTTTATTGATTTAACTTGACTTGCTGGTTACTTAGTACCCGCCCTTGTTGCTGTTGATAACGTGCAATTTGTAAAATCAATGCCTGTAACTGTGTTCTTAATTTGGCTTAAGGTCAATGTGCTACTTGTCGACAAGACATAATTGGGGCAGTCTATTTAGTGCGAATTAATCGTATAATTCCATTTCGAATAAGGCGCCAAAGTCGATAGGCACATGCAGGGCTAGAGATATCGATATATCAGTCATGAGTTTTAAAAGTGTGTAACAGGGCAAGACGAAATAAAATATATTACAGAAAAATGATATATTTTTACTGCCTTATTCCATAATTGGAGGAGGAGCAATTAATAGGTTTCCGATATGCTCAGTATCGGGAACCGATTAGTGTTAATGTGTTGCTACAAATTTGTCTTCATTGAAAAATTGTAAAACACTGCGCAGTAATATGAAGCTCACATACATACTTACATGCATTTAAAACATATTTAAACGTACACATATACAAATATTTATGCCAAAGGAGTGCTATCGATGGCAAAGCTCAAAAACTAAAAGAAATAACATCGATAGTTTTGCCTACAAACGATAGTTTGGTTCATTTTGGCTCCGCTCTATTAGTTTGACATCCATAAATGCAAAACAAAGTTTTAAGTGTTCTAGAATAATACATAGCAAAACATTCACCAGTCATGACAGTCTCAAATACAGTGGACCAATACACAATTATGTCGGGAGATCGCTCCAAAATAAAAGATCTGCTCTGTAACCGCCTAACTGAATGCGGCTGGCGAGATGAAGTACGCTTGCTCTGTCGAAATATACTCGTGGAGAAGAACGGCAACAACAGCCTCAGCGTGGAACAGCTTATAGCGGAGGTAACGCCAAAAGCACGAACGTTGGTGCCCGATGCAGTCAAGAAAGAGCTGCTGATGAAGATACGCACCATACTGGCAGAGAACGAGGGGGACAACTAAAGGCTTGCAGACGAAATACCATCAACAGCTAAATCATCATAATTCATTTATGATTATGCTATACAAAATTAACTTTACTATTACTCAGCCAATAAACAACAACTAAAATACATATATTGTGCGTTCAGAGTGGACAAACAACACCGCCATTGGTCATGTACTCGAAGGAGCTCTCAGCCCGGGTCACTGGCTGCTGCTCCGCGTGCTCAGATTGCTGATCATCCAGCACATCTTTCTCCCCAGCCGACCCGCCTGCAGTGCCCGCCGCGCTTGGCTGCGTGTACTTGCGCACCCATTCGTTGGGATGCATCTTCTTCTTGTGGTTGTGCATGTTCGCATGCGATTTGAAAGTTCTCGTGCAGAATGGGCAGGAGTACAAGTCGATGCCGGTGTGGGTGGCCATATGCTCCTGCAATTACACATTTGATATACACGTGGAAGATACATGAACAAGCTACGCATTCTTATAGTACTCACTGCCAACGCCCTTGGAAGCTTGAACTCCTTGCCGCAGAGCGAACAGCTGTGCCGCTTGGCCGAGTGATGGTACCGCATATGACTGCTCAGTGCCACGCGGGAGGCCTTCTCGGCGCTGCATAGCAGGCAACGGTACTTGTTGTCGCCATCGCGGTCATCATGGCGGGCCAGATGCTTGCGCAGACTCCGCTCATCCCGCAGCCAACGGCTGCACAAATTGCACTGCACCTCCGCCACAGGGCCATCCGGATGAAGCGCCTTCTTGTGAATCAGAAAGTTTGCCTTCGACCGGAAGTCGACGCCACAAATATCACAGATGACGGGAGTGAAATCCGTGGTGTGCATTCGCTTTATGTGTGCCGTTAGCTCTAGCTTAGTGCGAAAGCTGACACAATGAGTATGAAAGAGAGAGAGAGAGACATATATTTATAGTGCATGAATGAGGGAGATCTTGTGCGAGGGAAGCAGAGCTAGTCAGGGCCTAGTCTCTGTGCTTTTAATGAATACATACATCAAGTATTTAGTGTGTTTACTGATATTCAATGATTGATGGTCAGATTGTTTGGTGGACTGACTTACTGAATGTAAAGCTTGTAAACGAACGACGCAGCCTATTGACTTCTATTCTATTGATTATAGAATGTAGAGTCGAATGATTGGACCACCAAACATATTCATTATTACCAAATTGATTGATTGACTAACCAATAGATAAGGTGATTGACTGACTGGCAGATACATTTTCTACTTGATTGACTAACTGGTAGATTGATGTGCTACGTCATTGAATGACTGGACTTACATACAGATTAGATGACTAGCAAATTGATTGATTGCCTGACCGATGACGTTTGCTGCTTGATTGACTAACTGGTAGAAAGGTTGTTATACATTATTGAATGAGTGAACTAGTTGACTAGCAAATATGTAGCTTGATTGTCCGACCAATAGATGATTTGCTGCTTGACTGACTAATTAGCAGACTTGCAGACGAAGAATTGATCGCCTAGAGTCGATCGAATGGGCCAACAGACAAATTCACTAACAGACAAATTGATTGAATGATATACTTTGATTGACTGACTGACAGATAATAAATGAGGCTTACTAGAACTGCCACAATTGATTGCCTTATTGCCTCATCGAGCTTAGCCAAGTTGGCTCACAAGTTCCACCTACCTCTTGGCACAGGTGTCGCAGACCTCCGGTCGCTCGGTGCCCTTATGGCCCTTGATGTGCATGGTGAGCAGAAACTTTTTGGCGAAACGCGCCTCACAGATGTGGCACTGGTGCACGAGCTGCTGCTGATCGGAGTGGAAGCGCAGCATGTGCATATCCTGGCTGTTGCGGTTGAGGAAGCTCTTGCGGCAGGGCTGACAGCTGAAGTACTGCGGATCCTTGTGATAGTGCAGATGATCCACATACAGCGTGCGTTTCTTGTATCGATTGTTGCAGCACTCCATGTAGCCGGTGCAGTTGTGCTCCGAGCGAAAGTGGCGCTTCAGCTCGATGAAGTTCTGCAGGGGGGCAGCGCAGAGGCAGCAGTCGAGCTTCACGTTGGCTGCAATATAGTCGTCCATTTCCTTGATGCTGCTGCGCTTCGCCTGCAGCTCCGCTTCATCCGGCTTGGGCTTGGGCTGCACAATCTTTGGCTTGGTTTTGGATTTTTGCTTGGACTTGGCTTTAGCATTTGTGCCTTTGGGTCGGCCGCGTGCCTTTTTTATTTTTCGTAGCTCGGGCAGCGTGGCAGGAGATGCGCCTGCTTTCGCTGCAGTGCGGCGCAGCAGGCGCGTCTCTCGCTGGCTGGAGGCAGCCGGGGAGGGCAGTTGTGCTTTGTTCTTAGCTGCGTGCTCCAGCTCAAAGTCGGAGGAATCCTCGCTGTTGCTTGTGATGGATTGTGAATCGGATTGATTGATGGTGCTGATATTATCGTGCACATCAATCTCAGGCTCGCATAATATGTGATCCTTGACATCGTCGTTGTCATCGAAGACCAGCTTCGTTTCTATCGGCGACTCGGTGTTCCACACCACGATTGCTGGCTCGGGTGGCGGTTCGAGCTCCATTTTCAGCTGCAGCGTTTGCTGCTTCTCGGCTACCATTGCGCAGAACTGCTGGAAGTCGCTCAACTGATGCCAGCATGTGCTGCACAGATTGGTGGATATGCTATCATTGATCGTCACCTGAAAAGATGGCAAATTTCAGTACTCATATGAAGAGTATTTTTCACATATTATCTTCGAAATCGACTGCCACCTCGAGCTGTAAAAATTTGGCAATGGCCGCCGAGAGGTCGTGTTCGGCATCGCTGAATATGCATATGGAGAGCGAGTTATCCAAATCTAACAGGCACAAGCGGCAAATCATAGTTTCCAAGGCAAACAGTAAACAACAGGCCAAACTCTGCTGCTGTAAACAAAAATCTGTGTGCACAGCTCGATAGGCGTCTTGTTATCGAGAGATGTGAGTCGGTGAGAGGCTTTCATTACGTGGGCAGGCAAGCACGAACAATCGATATACCCAAGGAAATAATGTTTACGCACTCTCACACACACACTCTCATCTGAATTCGATGTTTTTATTTTGTACATCGCTAACAGGCAAAGTGTTGCTCGATTTCTTGATCCCAATAAGAGTGCGGTAACAAATAACAATGCAAAAGAAGCCGCTAAAGGCAAACACATTGCTGGACAAATTGCACCGTGGCGCTGTCTACGCCTGCATCGGAGTTACCTTATATGGCACCTATCTGATTGGCATGCGCTATTACCACTACTACACTGTGATACGGCCAGAGAAGCAGCAAGCGGAGCTGAAGCTCCTCGATGAGGGCGCCCATGACAAGGCCAAGGAGCTTAAATACTAAAAACGCATGTCCCCCACACAGTCACATGTGCATCGTTTTTCTTATTTGTAATGTTTGTTAAGCGTAATAAATAGTTTCGAGATGATTTGTGCATTGTGTGGTTCTTGTGCTGCTTCTTGTTGTGTAATATCCAACCAGGTGGGCTCCATCAATTGCGAGACCTTGACGTAGTTGCCGTTGCAAACAATGCGCCCATAAATCAGCCGGAACAGTATTGGAGACCAACGTCATGCCCAGATTGTGGCAAGAGCAATATTAAAAATCCGTTGGGGCAATCGTCGAATGTTGTCATCGGTGCTGTGATTGGCATCGTGACCAGCCGCTGAGGCACAGCTGTCGTAGCCGCTAGAGACGGCCGCGTGTCGCAATCACGACTGCGTGACAGCGTGACGCGATCTATATCGCCAGGCACGCACGACTCACTTAAATGACTCCAATCACAATGAAAATTCATACATTCACAGAAACGCTATCCTTTTAAAAATACAACAATTTAAATCTACGTTTACAGTTGGTTTCCTTTAATATTATTGCATTACAACTTGTATAGTTCGTTTTAGAAATAGCTAAAATTGATAGAAAGATAAGAATTCAAGTTTTTCAAGCTTTCAAAGAATTTTTAAATTCAGTTAGGCTCTTAAAAATGACTTAATAAATAAAATAAATAAAATAAATAAATAATAAAAAAAATTATAAATAAAGCTCTTTAAAGTAGTAGGTAAAGTAGTAGTAGTAGTAGTAGTAGTAGTAGGGGTCAAAATAATTTATATATATATAATTATATATTTACAACTTTGGCCAACATATGTATTTAGCTCGTGTCACGCACTCAAAATTCGTGACACGCGGCCAATTGTAAGCCAACTTCCACTTATAGAGTCGCGTGCATTAACCTTACCGTGTGGCAATCCGATATGCAGTTGATTAATATTAACTTGAGGCAAAATCAAAATTAAAATGAGAAGAAGAAGAAAATGTAGTGAAACAAACATGAACAAGCCGTAGACAATGATGCTGCCCCACCCACTTTGGAGCCGCTTGTGAAAAACGTTGCCAATTGCCAGTTCGCTCGTTTTGTCTGCGCTTCATTCAACAATGTTGCAGTTGCAGTTGTTGTTGTTGTTGTTGTTGTTGTTGTTGTTGTTGTTGTTGCATTAGTCTCATTCACAGTTTGATCAGACAAAAGCAATTACTATGCAGCAGTTACCTCGTTCACCTCACCCACCCACCCCCGCCACATCCGGTCAAGGTCATCCATCCTTCATTGTCTCTTCGCATTTGATTAGCTTCCTCTGGGCTCTCTAACCTCCACACTCTACACTCTGCCCTCTGTCCACTGCTCTCTAGCCTCTGGCTAGACATTAGAGAAGAAATCGTGCAGCTCGGATTATTTCGATAAGAATTCAAATTTGTTACTTATTTTGCTTTCTTAAAAATGAAAGAGTATATTGGCTTTATGCAATGCTTGTCTAGTTTTAAGTTCTATACGATATGCCCACCGAAGGCGTGGCAAATAGGGAGCTCCATAATATTATAGAAAATATAATGCCGGATCTGTTGAAGGTTATTTTTTGTATATATGGAATATATACATATATTTCAGATTAGCTTAAATAAATCCCTTTAAATTTCAATTTAATCCCTTTGGATATACATACATACATATGTACATATATGTAAATGTACATCTGTATATCAATGTCTTATGAAAGTATGTTGGCTTTCAAGTTGACGTGAAACCTATTATGAAATTAGAGACATAAGTTAGTTTTGATATAGGAGACAAAAAGTTTTAGATTTATATCGGAAAAAAAATATTTGGTCTTCGTTTTAGTATGATTTCATACATATTAAAATAATATTGTTTTTATTGTTTATATGAAATATATACATAAGTATAGTCATTGATATACATACATATGTATATACCTAAAATTGCAAAATATGTGACATTTGGGTCTATTTCAAAATATTAAAATGAAACCACAATGATTTAAAAAAAGTCAAGTTTGATAGCTCAAAGTCCTAAAAAAGTTTTTAAGTATTGAAAAAATAGTTCTTAGTCGCCGAGAAAACTTTGTTAAATTTACTCATCGTTTGCCATAGGGACACCTAGCTTCACCTCGCTCTCATTCATTCCAAGCTTTCTCTCTCTCCCTCTTATTCGTTCATTCTTCCTGCACTCTTTGATCTAGAATGATTCTAAGAATAGCATCACTTGAAAGTTTCAACTAGCATTATTAAAGGAGCTCAACTGTGACCGAAGATTGGGCATGACGGATCTTTCAGTTTCAGGCTCGACTCCAGATTAAAATTCGTATTGGTTACCAACTGCGATCCTCCGATTCGAAGCACTCTATAAGCCCCACGCTTCTAGGGTATCTGAGATAGATTTTGAGCACAATTCGAAAAGATTTCGCTGAATGATGAATATCTGTTGTAGAACGCTTTCAAGGTATCTGTAGATCGTGAAAGGTTTATTAACTGTTTTGCTTCTTGCTGCTGACTTAATTAGACAAGCAAAGGCAAGCGAACATTGCAAACAACAACAACAAGCAGCAACAAAAGCGTGCTTGCAATTGTTGTTAACAATTGCCGGCGCGACTGCCGTTTTCCCACGGGGTCTCTGGCATTTGACTTGCCACGCCCACTTCTGCCAGTCAGTTGTAATCTATATGGCTCGGTTTGTCAACATGTTGCACGTCGCATGTTGCATGTTGCGTGTTGCGTGTTGCATGTTGCAGCAGCGACCCGCGTATCGCATTGCAAGTGAAAGCGACACCCGATCGCATTTAGCGGGTATTAACTGTGTCAACAACTCCCACTTTACGCGACCGGCTTCCGTCTTGGCTATTGCCTCACAAACATATTTCACTTCATGCAATCTCCGATGCGCGTTCTAAGTGGGCGGGGCGGACAGGGGGCGGCTGGCAGGGTGGGTCGAGCAGTGGGGGTTGAGCGACTAGTGGAAACGTTAGTTGCAACGCCCACTTGAGCCAAGCGCTGAGGATTGCGACTGTAGCTATGGCTGACCTTTTTGGGCCCGGCTAACGATGAGGTACAGTGAGCACACGCTTAGGCGAACCGGCTACAGAATGAATGAATGCCTGAGAAGCGTTTGCCCACATCTCAGTATGGCTAGGGAAAACGTTTCCGAGCCGAATGGAATCAAACTACGGGTACAGTGTGCACACACTTTAGCGAACAATCTGCAAAATAAGTTTCTAAAAGCTTTAAATAGGTACTCTAATATCTGCTCTATTTATATATGTTGTAAGGTTTTCGTATCGTACCGATGTTGGAATACGGTGAACACACGCTTGAACGAACCGGCTGCCAAAATAAGCATAGTTCTGTTCACTTCAATTTCATTTGTATGCATTTATAAAAGAAAGTTCTAAGTATAGTTTTGGAGCGACACGAAGCGACAATACAGTAAGCACTCGCTTCGGCGAACTAGCTAAAAATGTGTTTAAATATTTAGAAGTTATTTTTTATTAAACGAGACAAGTATTTAAAGCAACTCCTAAGAATGTTTCCGAGTTGAGCTATTAGTACAGTGGTCACACGCTACAAAAGTCTCTTTGCTAGTTCAAGTTTCCTTTGTATTTATCAAAGTTTTTTAATATTTTTATACAGTGAGCACTTACTGGCATGAGCAGACAGTAAGGTTCACTGTATACAGAGCTAAAATATAGCCGTACTTTAATTGATGATGTAAATGAAACATTAGATAGATATGTGTGGGAAAAATACATGAACTTCTACATGAGCCAAACTATACTGAATCGAATCAAGACTCCAGATCAATGCAATTGAAATACTGCAAAAAAAAAAAAAAAAAAAAAAAAAGTCGAATAGACTGACTATAGCTAGTATTATTATTATTTATCCAATCATTTAATTTAAAAGAAAGCTGAATAATTGCGAAATTTTTTAAAGCATTCAAATCAATCAATTTTGAAGTGTAGGCAAATCAGTTCGAGGGATTGTAGAGCTCGAACCAATTCATGCAGGCAACAGCCGAAATCCTAATCAAAGCTTGGCAATGGGCATAACTGATACAGGTAGTAAGTTCGCTTGTGGAGTTATTACTGTAGAGCCGAGCAGCGACGTCGCTGCAGTCGCAGCAGCAGCAGAGGCTGTCAAGCATTCAATACGACATCAAATGCAACAATCGCTGCAGCTAGAGCTTGTTGTTATTGTATTTTTTTTGTTTTCTCTATTTTGTACTTTATTGTTATTATTTTATCTCTTCTTTTTTATTTGCATAATTGCAAACTGTAGCAAGCAACTATAAATACGCTGCGCCAACTGGCAACCATCAACAAATCAGCTCAGCCGCTGCAGCCATCGCATCCTTAACAAAAAGAGCCGCACTTAAGTACAAATCCTCATCATGAAATTCCTGGTAAGCAGGTGCAGGAGTCACCAGCAGAAGCTGAGCAGGACTAATTGGCAATAACATTTTACAGTGTGTCTTCGTTGTGTTGGCCGTGTGCCTGACGGGCTGCCTGGCGGCCATTGTTGAGCCCGCAGCAGCAGCAGCTGGAGCAGTGCCTGACGCTGAGCTGGAGTCGACGCTGGGCGAAAAGAAGACGGAGAAGCGCGGCATCTACGGCTTTGGCTATGGTCATTATGGCCATGGCTATGGCGGCTATGGACTGGGACATGGACATTATGGCGGCTATGGTCTTGCCACGCCCTACTATGGCGGCTACGAGTACGTGCATCACGCTGCGCCCTACTACGGCGGCCATCATGGCTATTATCCTTATCATCATGGTCATTATGGTTACTATTGAGCTTAACTGGGACCTATGATATCACATTATATACTCAAACACTCATCGCTACACAATCATATATAAATAATTTTTTTTTTTTTTCATTTTTCTTCATGCGCTTCGAATAAATATCCTTACAAAATGCAGTTGTGTTAAGTTTCAAATTTGAATTGCGGCGCGCGTGTGCGCGAGTGATTTATGCCAAATACAACTCTGCGTGCAGTGCTTAAAAGCACTGCAGATATAGCAGCAGCAGAAAGAGCACAATTGGCGCTCACCGTTAGCCGATAGCTTGCTATCGATTGGTATCGATGGCATGGGCTCTCACATTTTTGTTGTTCATTTTTACGCTCTTCTTTGTCGGAGACGGTCGTTACTATCCGCTTTTGTTTCGGCAGGCAAAAAGAGCTCAACAAATATATTGACACACAATTTGAATTTGAGCTAGAAAAGGAGTCCGTTCGAGCTAAAAAAAAAAAAAAAAAAAAAACGGCGTGAACAGCTGTTGTTGCACTAGTGTTGGGTAATTTTTTGTTGTCAAATTTTTTTTGTTTTTTTTTTATGTTTTACCCCACGAATTACGCGTGCAGTAAAGTGTCAGCAGTATCAACAACAGCAGCAACAAAACAACAACAAATGTCGCAGTGGTGAAAAGCAAGTGCGAAAAATATAACTAAAAGCTGATCAAATTGTGGGCGAAACAACAACAAAACGAAGAGAGCAAAAAATTAAAATAAAAAAATAAGCAGCAGATGTACATACATACCATGTACGTTTGTACATTTCAGTAGTGTTAGTACTAAATACTAGTACCAAATAAAAGAAATAAATGCGAATCTGTTTGTGAATATGTGAAGTGACAAAAATGAAATAAAGTAAAAAAACACACGCACTCATACACGCATATAAAAAGTCGTGAATTCGTCGTTGTCGCTGCTCTGGTGTTTGTGTGCGCACATCCACATACATGCGCACACACGCATACATTTTGTGCATATGTGTGCTCCTCTAGTGGCGAGCGTGCGAGCGAGAAAGAGAGTGTGGAAGAGCGAGCAGTCGTTGTCTTTAGTTTCTGTGTTGCTTTTACATTTTTTTTGCCAGAGTATTTATTTATTTTTTTTTTTTTAATAATAATTTTCGCATTGTGAAAAGTTTTTTTTTGCTTCGTACATCGCAAGTTTTGGAAAAGCGTGTGTGCGTGTGCGTCGCCGCGCGCGTTGGCAGCAGCGCAACAACAAGAATAACAGCAAAAAATAAAATCAACAACATTTATAGGCCCGAGTCGGAGCAGTTCGCGCCACTTTGAAGAGGTATGTATGCATGTATGTAAGCATGCGTGTGTGTGTGTGTGTTTGCTTTTGTCCAATTCAAAAAATTCTTATTAGATCAGAGGCATGCGTTTATGTGTGTGTGAGTGCGTTGAGCAGCCGTCGTTTCTCAGGTTCAGCATGACGACGACTTCTTTTTCGTCTTGTTTTCTTTTCCTTCTGCTACTCACACTCATTTCGCCGTTATTTATGTAACAAGTGTGTGCGTGCTAAATGAAGTGCTGTTGCTGCTGGCGCTGCTTCTGCCACCACCAGCGTTGTTCCTCTGGTTGTTGCTCTGTATGTATTTGGCGATTTTCGCCTCGCGCTATTTGTTGTTGTAAAGTTTGTAATGAAGCTGACAGCACTGCTACTACTACTACTGCTGCTGCTGCCTCTGCCGCAGCCGCTGCCATTGTTAACGCACAAAAAAAGCACCCAACAGCATCGAGCCGCATTCGCTCCAGCAGCTGGAGCAATGCTAAGCGCATTGAACTGGTTAGGTTCGCTTTGTTATTTTGGTTATCAACACTGGCAATGGCGGCAGCGCATATCTGGCAGCGCATCGTTTAAGCTTTGGTCGACGTCAACATGTGGTGTCGGCAGCATTTCTTCAATTGACATCTGTATGTAAGTTTTTGCTGTAAATTAACAGCTAACATAGCAGCAACAACAACAACATTAGCATTTAGAGCGATTGGCTTTGTGTTTGTGTGACGCGCATTTTGGGTCTGCTCTAAGAGGCTGCGTTAACGATGACGCCGACGCTGCCGCTGACGTCGACGTCACTTCTTTTGTACATTGGCTTTCAGCTACAACATGAATTGAAGTGAAGAGCGCAAAAGTCATTTGGTTTCTTTTTACTTGTCATTTCATTACGCACTGCGTTGACGCTGCCGCTTGTTGCGCTTTTGTTTTTGTTTTTGGTTTTGTTCTGCTGCCTGTTAGCGCGTTCCCCACAGCGAGAAAGAGAAGGCAAGCGAGAGCGAAATGCGTGTAATTTGCTCTAATTGGAATGCGAATTGTTTTGTGATGCCACACGCCAAAAAAATTTGAGTGTGCACCAAATGTTTATGCAAACCAGAAATGTAAAATGCAAAAGCCATTTACACACAAACACATGCAAGTATACATGTACATACATATATATGAATAAATGCATATATGTACATATATGCATTCTTTGTGTGTGTGCGTGCTTGTTTTTGCTGCGAGACTTCGGCGAATTCTTCTACGTTCTACATTTAACAGAAAGAGAGTGAGTGAGAGAGAGCGGGAGGGGAGCAATTGGGAGGATGAGAGTTCTGGTATTTAACTGCAGCAGCTGACACACGTGCATATACCCTGTACTATTACATATATTTTGTGTAACGATCTAATTTAAGTATACCCTTAAATATAAATATGAAACCAATTTAAAACAATTTCAAGCCGTAATTGTTAGATATGTATATGTATCTATAAGGCTACAAATATATATGTATTGTTATTATATATTGTGTATATATCCTCTACAAAAGAAAAGAAGATAAAATAAGTGCAATTTGCTGACTTAAAGTAATCAAAGGGCATCTGCTCGTCGCTCATACCCAACTGAACGTTTCCTTGAAGCAAGCATAAAGTGCAATTCAGTTCAGTTGTTTTTTTTGTTGTTGGTGCACTTGGCTGATTTAATTGCATTTATATTGATTAATACATTTGACATTTGATTGATTCTATTTATATTGCTTTTCTAACATTGAATATATTAATTGCATTTAATTAACAGCCTTTTACCGTTCGTTCGTTCAGTGGAGGCGAAAGACGAATCGAAGAAATGACAAATTCCAATTGGATTGGTTAACATTTCTCATTTGGGACTGTCATTTTGGGGCGTCCGTTGTTTTTATTGTTGATTATTTGTGTATTGTATACCCATACAAACATACATACATACATATGTAAATACACACATACAGATACTAATGCAAGTATATTTTTGTGTTTATTCTTTATATACTTTATTCACTTGCTGTTTTCGTCTTCTGTTTGTTTTTGTAATTAGTGAGCGGAAATTGTGCGCGTGTGTGTGTGTGCATGTGTGTAGGGTGTGTGTGTGTGTGTGTGTGGCGCAGGAGTTAAACTGGACTCTCCGATTGGATTTTCAAATTGTTTGCATTTGTGAAGGTCAGTGGGACAAGCGTCTAACTGTACCTGCTGCGCGTTACACCTTGCACCTGTTCTCAACTAATGCACCTGTGACCCAATTCGACTAGTTCCACCTGCTGCAAATACCCCCACTCCGGCGTCACACAATTCATTATTTCACTTGCGCTGGCGATTTGCATGATTTTCAACATTTCCAATTCACAGCTGGAAGCGTGGTGAATTGAGGTGTGTTTTGGTGGGCTGCATATGTGCTGGGACTCTGTGTGTGTGTGGGAAGGGGGTGGAAAACATTCAGCTAGCATTCAAAATTAGCAAGAGATATCGACAACACAATACGTATATAAATATATAAAAAGAAGAAGAAGAAAGCAAAAATGAACGATTATCAATTCAGAAAATTTTCCGAAATCTGAGCCAAGTGCAAAGAAGAAGCAGAGTAACGAAAGACGAAGCAGCAGGCGAAGCAGACTAACGGACTATCATTAATGCGCGCTCGCTCTCCCTCGCTCTCGCCCTGATCGCTGAGGTTTGCTTATCAGAATGTGACGTCTGCTATTCTCATTCGCCTGCCTCTTCCACTTATTGTTGTTGTCCATTGTTGTGGCTGCGCTAATCTGTCTCGCACTGTGGAGCGTTTGTGTGTCTGCAAGCGTATTGATGTATGTATGTATATGTGGCTATATGTTTTTTCAATGAATTTGTAAGCAACTGGAAATAGAGCTGATTTTCCAATTCGTCGTCGGATCATTCACAACTTCTGATTGGCATTGTCGCTGCCCATTTGGGGCTTTTACATTGTGATGGAATTTTCCATTTGTCACAAAAAAAATCGCATGAGCGGCTTGGGAGGATTAAAGCTTATGACTAAATGATTCATTTCGCTTTCGGTATAGTTTTATTATTTTCTAATTGAGTCGCATATACATACATATGTATGTATGGACATACCAAGTGAACCTGTCAGCAAGCAGTACTTTTTTCCAATTGGTCTATTGTCCAACTCCAATTGGGCAGCACCTTATTTGCTGACTAACTGACTAAATAAAAATCTTTTTCCTTTTCTTTTCGTGTCTTACAGGTCCATGCAAAATGTCTAGTCCTGACGATAGAATACCAATACGTGGTAAGTGAAGCCACTATTTCATGGGTGGGTGCTGGGCTAGTTCGGTGGCTCAAATGGGCTATTGTGCGTAATAACAATTGAATACATAACTCAAAATGTACACAGAGCGCGCACGTACAAACAAAAGCTTACAAGCACACAGACACATTCATACGCAGGGTATGGGAGAGCGAGATAGATAGAGAGGGAGGAACATAGAGAGGAAGAGTGTGTGCCTTCCAAAAATAACTGTTAATAGGAATACAAAAGCAAGCAAGCAAGCAGCGCTGCCAGCCCACACAGCAAAGCGCAGCTAGCGCAGCGCCAACTGACTTTGCAGCAGCAGCAACGTGTAGCACGCAATGACAACGGCTAAACAACAAGAACATTGTCCATGGTCGGGTGACAGCAGCAGACGGCGCGACCCAAGACCAGCAAGTGGTTGCGGCTGCGTTGCTGACTGAAAATGTCACTCAAAAGAGAGATTGCGTGTGTGTGAGTGCGAGTGCAAGTGTGAGTGCGACTGTTATGTTAGTGGGTAAGAGAGCAGATACAGTGCTGGGCATGCAATTAGAGTCACTGTTAAATATATATTATGAACTAATGCGACTAATGTCTTTTAAGTTTGGTTTTTTTTTTTTTTTATATTTTATTAAATAAGTTACATATATCATGTAATATAAATAAATATAAATAATTTAAATACAGCAAAAAAAAAAATACTTAACAGTCATTAGTAACAATAGCTCACTTATATCTGCAGTCTCAAATAAAAGTGTCCCTATATGCATCGTTGCTTAGTATAAGTTGTACAAGTATACTAACAATATGGCTAATACAAAGTGATATCAGTTGCATTACAATTTACAGCCATTTCTTAAGAAAGTGTCCCTATACGCATGGCCAGCACAATAAAGTTGCTTCTTTTTTTGTTAGTGCTGACTAGGTAATGTCGCTTTCAGCTTGAGTTGCCGCCACTGTCAATGCCAAGCACGTGCAATACCATGCTCTCGCTCTTCAGCTCCCATCCTCTCTTTATTTCGTTTTATTTTGGAGCGAGCTCTCTTGCCGGCGCTTACTACTGCTGCCTTCAGCCGCTGCTGCTGCTGCCTCTCTGTCTGTTTGTTTGTATGAACAACAATAACAACACGAACAACATTCGTTTATCGATTTTGTGCTATTTATAGCACAACAAAAATTTACTTGCCTTTGAAATGTGTAACGACGACGACGACCCCGGCGCCAGCGTCAACCTTATGGCCCTTGCTTCTTTTTCTTGCTCTTACTTGCACTGCTTCGTTCGCTCTCACTTCTACTGGCATTCGGCCCGTTATTTTGTTTTTACTATTACACTATTACAACAATTGCCACGTGCAATGTCAGACGCGGCCTCATTGACCAATTGAATGTCACACTCTAACGGCATACACCTCTCTCTCTCTCTCTCTCTGTAGAACTGCACTGTTATTTTTGCTCGTAACTGAAGCAGAAATTTGAATTGTCATTTGACGCTGCGCACAGTGGTTGCAAATGCTGTAATAGCTGAATTGCGCTGAAACAGCTTTAATTTCCAAAGCTCATCAATTGAAATAGAAATAAATCAGATTTGTTTAAATTTGTATAATTATTTTGGAGAACCTTGAATGGTCTATCACTGAAATATCACTCTCCTTGTCTCCCTTTTGTGTTGTTTCCTGGAATTGACCGTGTGTGTCTGTTTTCGTGTGTTATTTTTATTGACTTGTGCTTCGAGGTCGTTGCCTATGATAATTGTATATTATTAATGTCTTATACATCTAATGGCCAGGGCGTGGGGGCAGGTCTGTTGACAAGTCATATTCCCAGTCATTTGTTACGCTTACGTTCACGTTTCATTGAGTGGCACGCACCTGCCGTTGCCACTGCCGCTTCCATTCCCCCACTTCGCAGTTCACAGTTCTCAGCTCTCAGTTATTGTAATGGCATTCCAAGAATAACAGCAGCTCTCTCTATCTCGCTCGCTCGCTCGTTCACATGGAATGCCTATGTGTATATCGTTATATAAAATCGTTAGCTTTGTGTATGCCATAATATCCTCATTTGTAATACACAAAAGCCAACAGCAAACAACAACAGCAGCAGCAGAAACAACAACAACCCATTTTCAGCCCAATTCGGCCTTTCCACTGTCAATTCTTACCATTTACCAGCTGCTTCTCCTTTAACAGTTGTTTGTCTACGCTTGAGTGTGTGTATGTGTGTGTGTGTAATCATTTCTAAACTGCTCTGTTGTTGTTGTTGTTGTTTGCTGTTGGTTTTTGGCTTTGCATTTGTCAAGGTGAAACACACACACACACACAGTCACACGGACAAACATTGCGAGAGCGGGAGTGCTGCGCACACACACAAAACGGCCTCTCAGCTAAAACTTCGAAATAAGCCAAAACTGAACGAGCCACGCCCACATATTATATATTGCCCGCCCTAGGGGCCCCGAATTGCTGTTGCCGCAAAGTGTGTCTATTTTTAGACGAGCGCGCTGGAAATTTTTTCCGACACTAACGCACACACACACCCGCACACAAATTCAAGCGTGCATACATATACATCTATGTATGTATGTATGTGTGTCTATGTGCATACACTCGCACGCATACAACTGTCGTCTGCTATCACTCAAAACAAAGTAAGCAACGAAGTGGGTCGGGCTATTATTATTATTATTACAATTTTATTAGTATTGCTGTTTTTTTCTTTTTTGTCGAGCTAAAGCAATTTCGACTTACATGATCTACATATATACATATGTACACACACACACACACACACACACACACACACACACATAAACGCAAGCTTTTGCCTGCACCTGCAGCACGTTGGCTGCGCAGCTAGTGTATTATTGCTTACAAGTGTCACACATAGTTAGAGCACACACACGCACACATACATGCAAATGCACATGCACATGTATGCATACAAGCATCAGCTGCAGCTGTTGCTTAAGCGAGCGTACGCTCTCATCGACACACACACTCTCTCTCTGTTTCTCTCTCTCACTCACTCTTTATAAATTTCACTCGCTAACAGACAGTTCATTCTTGCTGTGTTTTGGTTATGTTTTTCAACATACCCTATGCAAGGGCAAGCGGGTCTTTTGATTTGGACTAAATGCAAGATTAATTTTCATGTGTTTGTGTGGATGGGATGGGAGGGATACATATAAATATATTAAATATGCATATTTAAATTTGGTATGTTTCAAATATGGTCTTATAAATTAATAAGAGTGTAATAACAATATAATAGAGTAGCACATGGCGACTACACATGGGCTTCTTTCCATTTTTTTTTTTGGTTGGTTCAGTTTTTGTGCAATGTGCGCTTTGAGTTCTGTTGCTTTTGTTGTTGCTGTTGCTGTTGCTATTGCTGATTCCGCCGATGTTGCTGCTTCTAAATTTATACTCCCATAGCTATGCACGATTTATAATAGCTGCTATATATAGAACAACAGGTCACGGCCTATTCGGTCAGCGTTTTGCATAGACACACACACACATATGCATATCAATTTATTTATACATACATACATGCATATGTATTTGTACGTTCATAGTTGAGTATGCATTCGACTCGGCTGCTTGAGTAGCAGCAGCGGCAGCATATATACATATGTACATACATACAATACATGCATGTGTATGTACATATTTCGCCATTGTTTTTGTTGCTGTTATTGGTTTTGCTTTTTGCTATTGTTTCTATATATAGCTAGCCACCTCTCAGCAGCCCAAAACTAGACTTTGCCTTACTTGCTGATTTATTCATTTCATTTTGTTGCTTTGCACTGCCCGAGCAGAGAATCAGCAAATGACAGCCGCTACAACACACACACACAGGCGTGGGCATACATGTAAACATGCACATATGTTTGATTGTGTGTGTGTTTGAGTATGCGTGTACATATGTGTGCATGTGGTCAGTTGACGTTGTGCCGTTGTCTTTCAAGCAGCAGCAATCCAATTGGACATTTTGCTTAGTCATAAATATGCGCGCAATTAGTCCAGTCCAGCCGAATGTCTAATTGCCGATCAACTAAAACAGAGAGAGAGAGATAGAGAGAGCGAGAGCGCAAGCTGGGTTGAGCCAGCAGAAGAGCGCGTGTGCGTGGGAGGGAGAGCAACAGATTGACTCGTAGCCGTTGCCAGTTTATCAATGAACATTTTGTATGTTTTTGCTGCACTTTGCCTTGTGTCCATTAGCAGCCGCAGCAGCGCAGCGTCGTCATTTTTTTTTTTTTTTTTGTCTTTTGTTTTTGATTTTTTTTGTTTTCTTGTACACTTTTTTGGCATTTATTTGCGCGCTGCCACAAAAGCAAATCAAATTAGTTGCTCTGTGCTAAAACGTGTAGCAGGAGATGATGACTAGTTCCTCGGTCAGGGGGTGATGAGGGAGGCGACAAACGGAACTGGTCGCTTGGTCTGCGCTGTGGCCTTTGTCGTGGCTGTTGTTGTTGATGTTGACTTCGGCGATGTCGACGTCGACGCTGACGCTGACGTCGACGTCGTCACGTGCGCGCCGTACCCTAGCAGCACTGAGAGCGGTTATCTAAAAAAGCGCTCGGGCCGGGTCCATGTAATCGCTGTAAACTTGTACAAGGTTACTAAAAATAGCCACAGACACACACACACGCACACACACACACACACACATGTATACATATATACACACACATACACACACGTCTCGGCTCGGTTTTGCCTCGGTATTTGGCCTCGGCGTGCTTGGAGCCAATGTGCTATTGAAAGCGGGGGTGAGAGCGAGATGGAAATAGTTCACATGGAGCACATGTTAAAATACGTTTTAGATTAATTTTATTTAAGCATCTGATAAGCACAACCTTATCTTTGTATAAATAATCAGCTAATAGGCCTAGCACACAAACACACACACACACATACATATATGTATTTGTTTTTGTTCTGATGCTGCTTGCGATTAATTGCATTTATATCGATGAATATCTATTGCACGACAATCGGAAGCATTTCAAAATTGAATTGGATTCCAATTGGAAGTACTTCCTATTGTTATTGAGTGCTAAATGTGATATTGAAACGATTCTATTTATATTCTAACTGATGATATTATCATAATACAAAAATTACAAAATAAGAAGAAAGTGCTTTAAGCTGGCAACAGAAATACTAGATAGTATACATATCATATTTATATAATATACAATATTCATACAATATCTTATTCATTTATTTAAATGTTTCCTCTTTGCAGATTTGCCGCCTGAAGCCGGAAACGATGAACGATTGCTGCACATAACGCCGGGCGTTTTATCGCTGGACTTTAAACCGCATCAAGTTGACATTGATCAGCAGATCCTGGAGGTAAATATCCGGCAAGAATTAAGCCCAGCTAGTGAAAACTGAATAGTAGAGTTCATCGAAAGTATTCTCATTGAAAATCTATCGTTGGCAAGCGATGGAAATGCTTTAGATGGAAATCTGTGCATTTCACATTTCCTCGTTGTGTTTTGCATCCTCTAACGTTGCAGAAACTGCGCACTTTTCCAATCAACACGTTGATTTCTTGTTGACGTAGTTTGCTCAATGTTTCCCCTTTGTGGCGCTTCCTTAAACTGCTCTTCAGTCAACCGATATTTGTATGTAAGCGTAAATATATTCCCTTGGAGCTAGTCCAATGCTGATTGGAGGGGATATTATCGATACTTTCTGAGATTCGATGATACTAGAGAATCTCAGAATGTCACTGAGAGAGGAAGAAGATAATTCAATTCGATCCAAAATAAAAGCCTTTCATAAATGTAATTTTGGTCTCTCAGTCTTTCTCTTTCTCTTCTATTTTTCGTATGCTTAAATAGACTTTTAGATTTCGTTCAACAGTAATTGTTTCGACTAACTCTATTCTATATCTCGGCATCTAGGAGTATTTCAATTGCCATTTCTCGTCTGTTCATCATATAAATACCCATTGAATATGGGATAGGATGGCTTGCACCTTCAAGCAATTTAAACTGCTTAACATATCGATTGTCATTAAATAGTAAGCAGAAGCACTTCAGCTCGATGCTGTTTACAGGGCATCAACAAGTCGTTCATCCATCTCTCCCCATTTCATAATCAGCTGAGTTCATTTCTTTGCTGTTTTAATTCCTATTGTGTCTCTTGCTCTCTCCCTCTCTCTCTCTCTCCCACACACGTCCTGTTGCACGCAGTTCTTGTTGAGCTCTGCTCAAATTGGAGTCACAAAAACATACAGCAAATCTAATTGGAACATATCGACGATTGTTTATTCTCAACGTCGCATTCATTTATGATCTCAATCATCGGCTATATCATTAGCATTCATGTTAGCATTTTTCTTACGTTTCCTTATTTTTAAATGTGCTATATATATGTATATATGTATATATTCCTATATATATATGTATAGCTTTGATATATATGTATATATAGCTCTGCTTTTGGTTGTTGTTGTTGTTGTTGTTGCTCTATTTATACGCATTCACAAGTTTCACTTGTGCTGCCTTCGGTGCGGCTTTCCTTGTATACCCTAGGAAAACTCTTGAGCGGCTTGTCCAGTTCCCTTTTGTATGCAGCTGGGCAATGGGAAATAGAGAGCACTAATAGAGAATTATTTTTAACCACTCTCTGATTGTGACACATTTTGCCTATTTATAGAGTCCGACGCCTATAGCCAATTCATATTGATTAAGCTATTGAAAGCCCATTTCAGTGGCATAGCTAAATGCCGCGATGATTAATACAAAATTAATTGAAATCCTAAATAAATCAATTCCAATAATATTTGAAAATGTCTAGGCATCTATTTAGCTATGTTTAGATCAATCAGTCCATGCTATCTTTAGATAAAATTTGGTAATTAGCAGGAATTGTTTATACCCTATTTACTTGAATTGAAACTCTTAACTTAACTCTTTAACTGGCCGTTTATTGAACTAGTTCATGAATCAGTTCATTTCATTTAACAATAAAATGAATTGTTAATTTAATTAGCTCATTAAATGATTGAAATTTGCTCGCGGAACTAGTTCATTTGATTAAACATTTCTATTTACAAAACTAGTTCGTTCATTCCATTTATTCAACTTTATTATTCACCATTCAGTGAATCAGTTCCTTTTGACAATATTATAAATTGTTAACTAAAATAGTTAATCATGTATTTTTTAGTTCAGTTTAACGAGCTGCGTCGTTCACTGATTCCAGAATCAGTTCAATCTTGATGAGCCATATAACTAAAAGTGTTTCTTGACTCATCTAAATGAGATGCTCAAGAAAAGCTATTATAAACGAATCGGTTCTTACATAGTCTTAGCACACATTTTCCGTATTCCAGGGTATTGCGCAGTCGCCCCTCGCCCGCTTCTCTGGCTGCTTCTATATTTAAACGCGTGTACAACTTAATGATTCTATATTTATTGTTTTCTCTACGAAAATATGTACGAGTATTTTGCGCATTCGCTCTCTGTGTATGTGTGCGTGTGTGTGTGTGTGTGTGTGTGTTTTCTCCTTCCTCTTTCTTAGCTTTTTCCCATTTCGTTTTAAATAAAACGGCGATTGTGCTAATAATAAAAGCCCAATGGGAGCCAAGCGAGAGGCAAAAAAAAAAAAAAATGAAGGAAAGGTGCAGTGGAAGGGGGAGGGGGAGGGGGAGGGTGAGAGAGCGGGAGCGGGAGTAGGAGAGAGAGAGAGAATACCGTAATGTGTTGCCTGGCCTGTAATGCACCGAACAGCATGTGCAACAAGTCGGTTCGTGCACAGCGAATACTCACTGTACCACAACTTTGTTGGGCTACAGTCGACCTCATGGCCCAAGCAGCAACATGTGCAGCCCCCACCTGCCATTGGCAACCCCAACTTCCCCTTGGCCCGCTCTCCGCTCCCCCTCCCCCTCTGCCGCTCCTCTCGCTGGCTGTTGGCTTGTTGCATTCAATTTATAGCCTGATTTTATTTATATACTCCGTGTGTGTACCCCTTAAAAGCAGCCAAGTCGGGTATATATACATCACTGATTAGATGAAATCAGAGCGAAGCAGCAGGGGCAGCAGAGGCAGCACCAGCTGGGCGTGTTGTCTAGGATATCTGATTGTCCAGCATGCCCCACTCTAACTTGCTGGGCTTCAACTTTGTGCATTGCTCTCTATGCGTGTGTGAGTGTGTGCGTATGTGTGTGTGTTTTGTTTTCTTTTGAATTTTCGTATTTTTGGTTCAAGTGTTCATCTGCTGCTGCTGCTGCTGCTGCTGCTGCTGCTGCTGCTGCTTCTTCCTTCCCCTCCACTAGCTCTGCTGTAGTTGCTAAAGTGCTACCTACCCAAATATCTATCTCCATCTCCCTCTCACACTCTCTCCTTCTCTCTCTCTCTCTGCCTGTCTCTGCCACTCCCCTGCTCAGCAATATCACCCGCCCGCCCTCGTTTGTCTTTTAGCCGCAGCAGCAGCAGAATTTGCCGTTTTTGTTATTTTTACATTTTCCTTTGAATTTATTTTTATTTTTGTGTTTTATAAACTCTGTGGGTTTTATTTTTAACAAAAAAAAAAAAAAAAAACGTATATAAACGTATATATATATATATATATATAAATTTATATATGTGTACAAATAGAAAAGAGCGAAAGGGATAGCAAGTGCAAGAACTATAACTGTAGAATATATATATATATACAAAAAAAAAAAAAAAAAAAAAAAAAAAAAACTAGAATAACTAATCGTAGCTTTTTCGTTTAGCTCTTTGTGTTGTTCCTGTTGTTGTTGTTGTATTTATTTATAAGAATCTGTGGCACGAGCAAATTGTAAATTAGCTACACAATAGCTGTGGGTGGGGAAATGAGTCTGAATGTGTGTGTGTGTGTGTGTGTGTGTGTGCGTAGAAGCTATGCAAAAAAGAAAAATTCTGTTGCAGCTGAAATCGAAAATATACTCACTTACACTCATTGCATATTTGAGTATTGAGTAGTCTTCTAATACACTCCTATATTCAAGTATTCGAGTTTTAAAACTCGTCGCATATTCCAATATGTTATTATACGAATCAGATTCCGAGAGGATAAAAAAATAACAAAATTTAAAAAAAAGGAGGAATTTATTTTACTTTAATTTTTCCCATTGTCAAATGTATTCATTTATGACTTTGAATACATTCATTCGAACTTCTTATTCATATTAATCTATGAAATATATACTCATATGTACTCATACTCAATTAGAGAAATGAATAAGTAGATTCAATTAGTCAGTTGAGTTCGAATCAACGAGTAGAATCAAATGAGTCATTTAGTTTGTATCAATGAGTAGACTCTAATTAGTCTGTTAGAATTAAGGAACATATTCTAAATAGTTATTAAGTTTGAATCAATGAGTAGACTCCAATTAGTATGCTTGAATCAATGAGTAAGTAGATTCAAACTAATCAATGAATTTAATCAATGATTCAAATAAGTCATCAAGCTGGAATCAATGATTCAAATTAGTTTGTTTAAATCAAAGAGTTCGTATTAGTTAGTTTGAATCAATGAATAGCTTCTCATTATTATGGGTGAATCAGTGAATAGATTCAAACTAGTCATTGAGTTTGATTTAATGATTCAAATTAGAATAAATGAGTTGCAAATGGTAGAGTAAATTCTAATTACCTAATTTTGAGTATTGCTTTCCCATTAGATTCCTGCCATACCCACATCAATTCAATGAATGCACAAATGATTCACAAATGATTTCCTATTCACATTCTTATACATTTAATGGATGCGTCTTTATGGTTTCTTACCAGAGCTATTGGTCTTACCAAACATTTAGCCCTTTTAAGGCGCATACTCATAATGAATTGTTAAATTTGTTGCTGTATTCGCTTCACTCATGAATACATTCGGCGCATTCGCTACGCTTTGGGCTGTGGGCAATCGAATTCACATGTGGACCAAATTGTGCGTTCTAAAAACGGAAGACAACAATGTTGTTGGTACTGTTATTATTATGTACATATTATCAGAGAGGGCGAGTTGTTCTATTTATATGGGCGTGTCTGTGTGTTGTCTTTGGCCCCCGTTATAATTATAGCACGGGCCTTTTATAATTATAGCATGCGCTCTGGCCAGCAGAATGCTGAATAACAACAACAACGGCAACAGCAACAAAAAGTTGTGCAAGGCAAATGTCGTGGGCGGGTGGAAAGGAAGGCGTGGCAGGGGAGGCTAGGGGTCAGATTATTGCTTAAACAAAGGGGTAGTCAGGTGCAACAGCAGATTTCTAAGAACTCTTTCTATATAGCATATGGCTTGCTGCTGCTGCTGCTGCTACGTCAACGGCGACGGCGACGGCGACTGCGACAGTGACTGCGACTGCGACTGCTGCATTAAGCGAACGATTGAACGATGAATATAAAAACGCCCGTTTGTCTGCCGCCGCAACTGACCACGCCAGAGAGTGATAGAGAGAGATAGAGAGAGAGAGAGAGAGAGAGAGAGAGAGTAATTACTAATTAGGAAGAGAGCGGCGAGCGGCGAGCGGCGAGCGGCGAACGTGAGCAGCGTGAGCGACGCAGCACACGTTCATTTAGCTCGCTCGCACGCTCGCCGCCTGTTCGCTTCGTGCGCTTTGGCTAGCGAATAACTGTATCTAAATTTGTGTTTATATTTGATTTTTGCGCCAGTTGCTTGAGTGAAACTGAAATGAAAGCGCGTTCGACGAATGCCAAAGCCAAACGAAAAAACTAAAATCAAATAAAATAACAGACGCAGGCAGCAGCAGTAGCAGCAGCAGCAGCAGCAGCAGCGCAGTCAATAGCAATTCAAATTGGAACAATACCGTACATATCCAATTCAAATACACCAATTGGAGCTAACAGTTGAAAACGCGCGGCGCTGTGAAAAATATTGAAATCAAAGTCAAGCAAACGCAGAAAAACAAAAAATATACAGTTTATAACAAATATACACGCAAAATTCAAAAAGACTAAAAACATACGGCATCAGCTAAAAATGTATAGACAATTAAGACAAAGAGTAGAGGCAGACAACAAAATGAGAAACAAAACTAAAAAATAAACAAAAAAAAAATAAAGCTAACAGCGGCGCATATTTCTACAGATTATTTATTAGTGTTCTGAGTAGTTTCTTTATTTTTTTTCTGTGTTTTTATTTTTATTCTATTTTTTTCCTGCCCAAAAGCTGTGAGCACTAAAAGCTTATGAAAAAGTGTCTAACAACAACGCAAATCACAAAAAGAAAAAACAAAAACAAAAGCAAAAACCAATTAGAAAAAAAAAAAAAAACAACAACAACTTTAGTGCCCGACCAGTGCGTGCGCGTGTTAGTGCGTGTATGTGTGAGAGAGAGATTGTGCGTGTGTGTGTGCGTCCAATTGGACAAAGCGTCGCGTTAAGGTCATGGAAACATATCAGCAACATGTACGTAATAAAGAGAGCGCGCCAGCAAAGTGAAAGAGGGAGAGAGCGACCCTCAGCTAGAAAGCGAGAGAGCGAGAGAGCGAGAGAGTGAGAGTGGAGAGAGCACAGCCAATAATCAACAATTTATGATCAACAATTGATGTATTGTGACGCGTGATTTGCTTAGCTAATTCATTTGTGTAATCGCTAGCAAACCCTATGCGTGTGTGTGTGTGTGTGTGTGTGTGTGTGTGTGTGTGTCGTCTCAGAGTGCCGAAGTGAATCAGAGTGCATTCATCCAAGCCATTCATCACAACATGATTCATTTCAAATGCACTAATTATCTAATTGATCAGCTTTTAGGAGACTGATAATTTGAACTGATTTTATTATAGCAAAACAACTGTAAATGGGCGACATACATATTTGTTTGTATTTACAAACGGCTTAAGTGGCAAATTTATAAAGATTTTTTATATGCCATTAAAATACTGGCGAAGTAATTAATATTGTTTATAATTCAATCTGAAAGGTATTGTGATTATATCGAATTTCTATAGATATATGTAAATCTATAGCGAATGATCATAAGCAATGTTGGTCAATGGATGTTAGAGACTCCGTAATAGATCTTGGAAAAACAAAATTCCATAACAAGTAACTCGATTGTTTTTTAGGGCAGTTTTGTGTGAATCCCCCAAGAATGAGTACTTCAAGTTATAGGATTTCCGTTTGAATTCTCAGAAGAGTAGGACTAGAAATTTATCTGGAAAATAAATCTATTTGATTAAAGGAAAAGTAACTGAAGACGATTTAGTTAGCATGTGTTTTTCTTCTATGCTTATCTAGCTTTGATTCTGATATCTAATAACATACTACCCAAAGAGCTTTTATCATCGGCATTTTTGAGTCTATTTTTAAATAGGGTATTCCCATTCAATGTGTTTTTATTTTGTCAAATTTTTATTTTCTTTAGACTTTCTCTCTGAGTTATCTTGAGATATTCCTATCAATTTGTTGTTTGTTTCTTGTCAAGTTTTTGTTGTTATGAATCGTGAGTCCATTATTCAGCTAGTATTGTTCAATTTCCTGAAATATCGCCTGGAATTAAGTTATGCAAAGACCAAATTGAATTTGTATTGCGAATAATTGCGAGTTCTTTGAACCGCTTCGTTGATGACTTGATCACCGTTGACATTGAAACGGTAGGCACAAATCTATTTCGCTGATCAACATATGTATATACATACATGTATAAGTATGTGTGTGTGTGTATGCATTTACGTATACCCTATACCCCTTCTTTCGCTCAACATTGAATTGTGGCTATGCGTCACAGCATCTACTTAGCTATAGACAAAGATCTTTCGGGGCAATTACTCACAGCCATTTAATGATCTGCCCACGACATTTACCACAACATCACGATCAATGGCGCCGTTCCTCCCGCACACACACACACACACTCTCTCTCTCTCTCTCTCTCTCTCTCTCTCTCTCTCTCTTTCTCTCTGTCTCTCTAATCGCTTGCTCATCTTTTACGTCTGTTTCTCCGCTTTTAGCTGAAGAAGAGCCAGGAGCTGCAGAAACAGCGTCTTTTCCACTCGTACCAGGAACAGACGAAGCAAATGGAACTGGAGCATAAACTGCAACTGGAGCACAAATATCATGTGAGTAGCTAGAAGAGTCAGACGAAAACAAACATGAAAAACTCACGAAAAAAACAAAAGAAACAAAAAAAAAAAACTCAAGAGATTAGATCGCAGATCGCGTCGATATTTCCCCAAAGATAACGTTGGTTGATAAAGCCAACTATTCCCCAAGTAGTCATACTAAATGGCCGTTAATTGTTAAAAAGCTCTCAGACGATAGTTACCGGATTTGATTGTATCATCTTGTTGTTGTATGTATATGAATCGTTTGTATATATATTAGTATTACTAGTACTACTGCAAATCGATAAATATCGATACACTACATAGCTATGCGTTAGTTTTAATTGAAGAAAAATGCAGTATGTAGGCTTTTTAGCAGAGTTATATATATCATTAACTCTTTCGATATCGATAACTTTCTAAGTCACAGTAAATAGATAACTATCGATATGCATAACGTGTATGCTGGTACTATCTAATTGCTATGTAGTCTGTCGGTACCTTTTTGATATCGATGGCTCTGAACATACTTTAGCTAATCGATAATTATCGATGTTCACCGCGTGTATTTTGAAAGACAGTAAACGCTTAATTGATATCAATTTGGTCAGTTAAACGCAGTCGATTTCGATGTCTCGATAACTACAGCAATCATGTCTAAAACGATAAATATCGGCTGGCCTGCAACATATGTCCCGTTTGATGTAACGGTAGCTTGCTGCGTCTAATACGCGTAAATACACAGTTAATAAAAACTCAATTATACTTCGAATCTTAGATAAACGATAAATATCGATATACACAATGTGGATTAATGAAGCAATATTAGATTAGATTAGATTGGACCCAAGTTTGTATTGCTTGTATGAACAGCAGTTCCCACCTTACTTTAATTATTAACTACTTTTAGTTTTTACACTCGGCGATATATATCGAATAGGCATATAAGAAATTGTGGCTAGCTGACTTAAACTTGTTTTGTTTGTTTTTCTTTTTTCTACTTTGTATCTGTTGCTGCTTTAACTTGTTGTTGTTGCTGCTGTTGGCGACATTGGCGCGTGGGCAGCGCAAAAAAAAAAAATATATAAATAAATAAATACATAAATGAAATAAAAAGCAAAAATACTTTATCAAGCGTCGTCTTGCCGGCGCTTTCGGCCGGAAGTGCCGCCCTGCTAGATAGATGACTAAACAGCAGCAGCAGCAACAACAACAACAACGCTTGACCAGCAGCAGCAACAACAAAAACAAAAGCACACATACACACACACACACACGCATAACTAATTCTATTCTGAACCCTCCCCCTTCGCAAAAAAAAAAAAAGAGACAAGAACAACAACAAAAACTCTCTCGAACTTATTGTAATTTATTCAGTTTGCGGTGCATTCACATGGCGCTTTCCAGGAATTGCGGGAACAGAGCATGGTCACGGCGGCAGCAGTTGTCGAGGAGCAGCATCGCCAGCACCAACATCAGCAACATCAGCAACAGCAGCAGCTACAGCAGCAGCAACAACAGCAACAACAACAGCAGCAGCAGCAGCAGCAGCGGGAGCGAAAAGAACGTGAAGTGATGAAGCGAAAGGAGAATTGCAGCGCTAATGCGAGTCCCGAAGTCAAACAGATACTCAGTGTAACTATAAATGCCTCTGCTCTCTCTGGCGCGCTCTCTTTTGGTCTCTTTATTTAACTCTTTCGCCTTGCAGTGCTTTCTCATGAGCCGCAAGTCGCAGGCGGTGGCTCCAAATGGCACAACAACCACATCGCCCTATCGCAATCGGTAAGGATATCCATCTATCTATACTCAGCATCTAAAACTCTATCTCTCTCTCGCTCTCTCGCTCTCTCTCTCTCTATCTCTTGCAGCGGTGTTGTTAAGAGCTCTTCGGGCGAATCATTGCCCGCTGGCACCGTCACCAGCGCACATCCATACAAAATACCACAACCGCCGACCTCACTGCTCAAATATGAATCTGATTTCCCCCTGAGGAAAACTGGTAAGTGATCAAAATGTCAATGTCAATGTCAATGACAATGTCAATGTCAATGCCAATGCCAATGCCCTAACATTCTTATCGATGCTGTGTGTAGCAATTGTTGAATGAGAGAAAAAAAAAAAGCAACACCTTCCCTCTACTTGTCTTAACTAACTCTCTTTGCTCTCTGCTTGGCGTTACAAAGTGTTGCCAATTGCATCGCTTGTTGATTACTAAACCAAAAAGCTGAGCTAAAGCTGCTAGAATTTCTGACGATCAGTTGAGATCACAGCTGGAATAGTTGAAGTTTCGTCTCAAAAGAAGTATTACGCACTTTCTACAACAATTCAAAGTTCTCTAAGTTCTCTATGCAATCCAATGATTGCTTTGACTTAGGCCAAGATCACTATTAAATGCCAGCCCTCTAAAGAGTAGTAGTTGTTGCTCTATAATTAACTTTATTCGCTAGAGAACTTTCGATTAGTAATAATTATTGATCAGCAATCATACAGCTCTTTTCATTGATCACCGATTACCGATCACTGATCACTGCTCAGTTAAGCTAGTATTTGGAATTGAATTCTCATATGACTCTAGTTTAAAATGATTTCATTTATAGGCATCATATATATTCTAACGATAAATTAGCTTAGAGCATTGTTTTTTAATGGTTTTTTTCTTGGAAATATACTTATCCAAAAAAAATTACTAGCGATTATTGATAATTGAGTCAGATTAGATCACTTTCAATGGGAGCTGAAAGCTTACTGAAAATATTATTGAAATATATTCACTATGAATCAATCATAGATCAGCTGGAAGAATAGAAGCATAGAAGAAGGTTGAAATATATATCGTACAAATCAGTTAAAGAAATGGAACTAATCAGAGATCAGCAGGAAGAATTTTAGAATAGGCAATGCTCTATTGCTGATCAGTAAATAGATAGTTTTGGAAGAAGTGTAAGTGATAAGGTCAACGTTATATAAGGCTAGAACTATTAGGTATACGAATATAGCAAAAGATCTGTAGTTATAAAGCTTAGTTTCCTAGATCAGTTAGATTTAAAATAAGTTTGTTAAATCAGTTGAATATTAGATTATTGCTTTAGGTATATTTAGGTATTAGGTATACTTAGACTCAGACTTTATGCCCTTGCTATGCAGCATGTTACTAAACTCGATCAATTGAATGACTAACGCAATTGCCTCAGAGGCAAACCCAAGTGAGGTCCCATCGAGCGTAACTGTAGGTACTCCCATAGGCTACACACACACACCCACCCACCCACACACACACCCACCCATACACACACACACATATGCGCACATCATATATACATATATACTAAAGAGAAACATGTATATGTATATGTATATGTATATGTATATGTATATGTATATGCATCACCTGAACAGCATCGGAGCCAAATTTGCTGAAGATCCGGCTCAAGCAGAGCGTCATCGAGCGCAAGGCACGGATCGGCGGTCCGGCGGGGGCTCGACGGCACGAACGGCTGCTGCAGGCCGCCCAGCGACGGCATCAGAAGAACTCGGTTCTCACAAGTACGTATATCACAATGGAGCAAATACATACACACGCACACACACACACACACACGCACACACACACACATGCATACACATACATTGTCAAAATTCTGGAGGGGATCTGATCGAGCATCCGATTGGGGTCAACCCGCTGGCAGTGGCAACCGCATCGAACCGCTTGGAGCGCGTTTCACTGTTTTGTTGTAATTTTGGAGCGGAGCGCTTAAAACTGGATATGAAAATGGAAATTGAGGCAATTACATAAACACACACACACACACACACACACACACACACACACACACACACACACAGACACGCACGCACGCGCGCAGACAGATGTGTGGCAAAGCTGAAAGCAATGCGCAAAGGTCGTCGGCTGGGTCAGCTACAACAACAACAACAACAACAACAGCAACAACAACAATAGTCAAAAGAGCAACAATGTCCATCTTAATTATCGCGATTATACTGGGCGCCATAATTGTGTGTGCTCTCTCTCTCTCACTCCCTCTCTCGCTCTCTCTCTCTCTTTCTCTCCCTCCCTCTCTCTCTCTCTCTCTCTTTCTCTGAATAAACTATCGAATTTTAGCATTTGAAAACTATTCAAAGATCTATTTTACTATGTAATTCAGTCCATCTCTGCTGTATACATCTATCTCTCACACTCTCTCGCTCCCCCTCTCTCTTTACATATATATGTATATATATATATATATATTTTCTTGAATCCATAATAGATCTATCAATCCATTCAATGATCTCTCCAACATTTCGCTGTGTCTAAATATAAATCTCATTATATACCAAAATTCGATTGTAAAATTCGTAGATTTTTCAAATTGAGCCATCGAAAACAAACCGAAACTTTTCATATGCTATATATAGAAATATAGCTATCTGCTTATAGTCTTTACATATCTCTAAACATAAATATGAAATATCATATTGAAATATTGAAACAGCTCGAGTTTTAGATGATCCATCAGGTTTACGGAGAGAATCTCGAACACTTTGTCCAAAGAAATACAGTAAAATCCGCTTATAGGGTCCGTACGGTTATTGCGATGAAAATTCTGGTATCCAGACAAACTTATATGCGTATAGCGTGTTCCGGGTATTGCGACGGTCCCTTGAGCGTCGTTATAGCCGGGCTCTACTGTAATGCAAATTTGCACTGAAGAATTGAACTTTATGAATTTGTTTTTCGTCCATTTGTTTATCTTATAAGTTTATCAATAAATGTGTATATATGTTTATTTTCTTGAGCAATTTCTATAAACATACACACACACACCCCAACACACACACACACACACACACACACACACACACATACATGTAACTAAAATAAATTCATTTTTTGCTCTCTTTTCGCGCGGCTTTTGCAAGCGAACAAAAAGTTTATTTTTATCATTTTTTATAATTTAATAATTTTTTTTATTTTTTTATTACTGTTGTTTTGAATTTAACACATGTTGTTGTTGCTGTTGCCGTTGTTGTTGTTGTTGTGAATATATTAATCGAAGCTAATCTGAAATTAATCCTGCGTTTTGCTGCTGCCTTTTGCTGTTGCTCCTGCTGCTCCTGCTGCCGCATGGCCAAAAAAAAAAAAAAAAAAAAAAAAAAATACTGCAAAAGAAACATGAAAAGATTTTATTTATTGTACTCAATCATTCAATCACTCACTCCATCTATGGTCAGTCAATCAATCAATTAATCAATCAATTAGTAATTTATGATCTTTATTCTCTCCTCCTCCTCCCTCCCCCCTCCACCCTCCACCGCTTCCATCATCATCAAGATTGCAACAGCACCACAGACTCGGGCCCCAACTCGCCGCCCTCGTCGACGACATTGTCGGTGGGCGTGGTCGGTAGCCGCGGCTCACCGACCAGCGCGCCCATCCAGGAGGAGAACGAGGAGGGCAGCCAGTACCAGCCCGGCCAGCGCAGCAGCATCAACGACCTGCCGCTCTTCAGCTCGCCCTCCCTGCCAAACATATCGCTGGGCCGTCCGCATTTAACCAACGCCCAGGCGGGCCAGGCCAACTATGCCATGTTCGCTGCACTGCAGCAGCATGCGGCCGCCGCTGCCGCCGGGCCCGGTGCACCGCCCGTGAATGTGGCCGGCGTGGGCGTGGCGCCCACCTACTACAATCCGCTGGCGATGTCGTTTGGCGGGCGGCAGCCGGCGCCGCCGCTCTCGATGATGCCCGCCACGGGCATTGCGCCGCAGCCGTCGCCGGTGGTGCGCTCCGCCTCGGCCACGTCCACGTCCTCGTCGCAGGCCTCGCTGGTGGGCGACACGGCGCCGCCGCAGGCGCACGCCGCCTCCCTCACCTCGGCCTCGTCCTATTTGCATCTGAGCGGCACCACTGCCGTCAATCTCCACGCGGCTGCTGCGGCCGTGGCGGCGGCGGCTGCTGCTGCCGCCGCTGGCTCACTGCCGCCCTCCAACAGCCACAGCCACAGTCACAGCCACAGCCACAGCCACGCCCATGCGCTGTACAATGCGCATCAGCAGCAGGCGCAGGCGCAGGCGCAGCAGGTGGCCCACGCGCACGCGCCCATCACGGACGCCCAGGTGGCGCAGGTGCATCTGCATAAGCAGGGCCACCGTCCACTGGGGCGCACCCAATCGGCGCCCCTACCCCTAGGCCATCCCATGCTCACGGGCGCCAGCCAGCTGAGCGTGGTGCAGACGCACTACGAGAACAGCGAGGTATGTCCACATGCACTTAGATATATAGCCAGCCATGCGCCTACATCCATACTAATCCGCTCTCCTTTCTCGGGCAGGCGGAGCGACAGGCGTACGAGCACCAGGTGCTCACGCAGAAGCTGCGCCAGAAGGTGCTCACGCGCAGCGATGCGGCTGCCGCGGCGGCTGTGGTCGCCGGGATACGCGAGCCGCAGCTGCAGCTGCGCGAGGAGGAGGACGACACGGCGGCCGAGGTCATGGACCTCACCGACAAGAAGAAGCCGCCCAAGACGGTGCTGACGAGCACGATTGCCACCAGCACCTCGCAGAATCTGCCGGAGGCCCTGGCCGCCGCCTCCTATCGGGCGGCCGCCAAGTCCAGCAAATTGCGGGACCAGGAGTATTTGCAGCAGCAGCGCGAGCTGCTCTACCTGCACGAGGAGGAGCTGGCCAAGGACCTGATGCGCCCGCTCTCGCGCACCCTCAGCAGCCCCCTGGTGCCGGGCCATGGCCTCAGCCAGATACCCGACACCGGGCAGCATCCGACGCCCATCGCTACGTCCTCCTCGGCCGATCATATTCCGCCCGTGAACCTGTCGCTGCCCCACAAGCGCCAGCTCTTCAGCAACGTGTACGCGGCACAGCTGCGACAGCATCAGCAGTCGTCGGTGGAGAGCGGACTGCCAGCGCACAAGAAGATCACAACGGGACTGGCCTACGATCCGCTGATGCTGAAACACGCGTGCATTTGCGGCGACAACGCGCCCCATCCGGAGCACAGCGGGCGGCTGCAGAGTGTGTGGGCGCGGCTGAACGAGACGGATCTGGTGAAGCGATGCGATCGACTGCGCGCGCGCAAGGCCACGCAGGAGGAGCTGCAGACGGTGCACACGGAGGCGCACGCGATGCTCTTTGGCTCGAACCAGGGCCAGCTGACCCGGCCCAAGCTGGAGAGCACGCTCTCCGCGAGCTTTGTGCGGCTCTCCTGCGGCGGCCTGGGCGTCGACCTGGACACCACCTGGAACGAGCATCATACGGCAACGGCCGCCCGCATGGCCGCTGGCTGTGTCATCGATCTGGCCTTCAAAACGGCCAAAGGTGAATTGCGCAACGGCTTCGCCGTCGTCCGTCCGCCCGGCCATCATGCAGAGGCCAACCTGGCCATGGGCTTCTGTTTCTTTAACTCAATTGCCATCGCCGCGAAGCTGCTGCGCCAGCGCGTGCCCGAAATGAAGCGCATCCTCATCGTCGATTGGGCAAGCCAACTCTCCTACTTCCCCCTTCTCGCCTCGCATACTAACCTCCGTATCTCTCCCCCTCTAGGATGTGCATCATGGCAATGGCACTCAGCAAGCATTCTACCAAAGTCCCGACATTCTATATCTTTCCATACATCGACACGATGACGGTAATTTCTTTCCCGGCACTGGTGGTCCCACTGAGGTAAGGCCCAAAGCTTTCGCCCGATATCCCTATTGCAAAAAAGTCGACGCTTAATGGTTCAGTAGGCAACCGTAAGCCACTTCAGGTGGACTATCGATAATTATCGATTTTCAGCTTGAAAATAGAAAATTGAAAATATGTGAGGGACCTTTAAACTTTACTTCCTTTGTCATCCGATTATATTTAAGTAAAAAATATTTCACATCAAACTCGCTCTCACTAAAAACTATTTTGTGTAAGGCTACATATGAGACCTAAGTTATATGATCCATAATCTAAGATTTCTGAGCGACAAACTACTGCCGATTGGTTGCCCTATGAAATGTGCTCTACGAGCTTAGATTTGTGATATATTATAGAAGATCTACAATTTATGATCTGTCTTAGCTACGATCTACGGGTCTTCATTTCACGTTCTGCATGCTTCAAGTGTTTCAAGCTTCAAGAAAACATAATATAATTATAATATAATATATAATAATAGCAGTAGAATTCAATTTAGGGCCAACCATATACCCGAAAGATCATATAAGTTTGTCTGGGGACCAGAATTTTCGTCACAATAGCCGTACGGACGCCATAAGCGGAGTCGTCATAACCGGATTCTACAGCATTTGAATTTTTAAGCCACATATTAACTCATTCTATTATCTTGATCTGCTCTGTCATCTTCTATAATCTTTGAACTATGATTTATGATCTATAACCAACGATCAATGATTTACATTTAAAGAGCTATTTCTCTGATCTATTCTTTATGATCTATGATCCAAAATATATGGTATATCAATAACGATTCCCGATTGTTGATCAACGATCTATGGTCTATGATATATGTATATATGTATATATGTTGTGTAATCTTTGATCATAAATCTATGTCAATCCATCAGTAAGTCCCTAAACACATATTAAATGTGGGATCCATGCTCTTACATGATAAACGTTATGATCTGCGATCTTCTCGTGGAATCTGTTGACCGAGTAAATTCCGTTATTATATGCATAGCTGTAGATGGACATGCTATAAGAACAACCAGTGCTACAAGCGATTTATATCATAGGTTATATATTTAAAGTAGAACATGTATAATATAGGACAGTTAAATGACATTTAATTGATTGTACATTTTGTATTCCTTTCTCACTCACTCTCTCTCTCTCTCTCTCTCGCTCTCTTTCCATCTCGCTCGCATTTTGGGGCTGCAGTGTGGCTCCGGTGCTGGTCTCGGCTACAATGTGAACATCTCGTGGTCGGGCGCTCTGAATCCACCGCTGGGCGACGCCGAGTATATCGCTGCATTCCGTACCGTTGTGATGCCCATTGCCAAGTGCTTCAATCCGGACATTGTGCTTGTCTCCTCCGGCTTCGATGCGGCCACCGGGCATCCGGCTCCACTTGGGGGCTATCACGTATCGCCCGCCTGCTTCGGTTTGATGACACGCGAGTTGCTTCAGCTGGCCAACGGCAAGGTGGTGCTGGCCCTCGAGGGCGGCTACGATCTGGCGGCCATTTGTGATTCGGCGCAGGAATGCGTACGCGCCCTCCTCGGCGATCCGGCTGCCCCCATAGCGCCCAGCGAACTGGAGCGGCCGCCCTGCCAGAACGCCATCAACACGCTGCAGAAGACTATTGCCATACAGGTGAGCTGATTAGCCCATATGTACATATATGTATGAATCAGATCTCCAAGTTCCATAGAATATCTTAAAGTACAGCTGTATTATACAAGAATTGGCAGCGTTTCATTAAAATCAGGCACATCTGCCTAAGGAATATTTTAAGATCTCTGAAGACTAGTGAATTTTTCAAATTAAAAATCCATTTCCTTCGATTTATGCTATTGCACTATATCTATAATAGTTTATAAAATATAGATCCTAACTCAAAAATTGAGTACTTGATCGTGTATTGCAAATTAGATTGAGATATCAGAGACTTTTCGTTGTGGTTTATTGTAACTAAGTAAGTAGCGATCAAGTATATACATATATGTATGCAACATATACTTCATATATGGCTGCCTGATTCCAATATACGGATCTGTTTATAAATCACATACACATAATTTTATCATATTGATTTTTGGTTCAACTCTTATCTGAAGCTGAATTGGTTGTTGAAAAAACAATAGATACAGAGAGACATAGATACTAAGATACATTTGGATATATATAAACAATGATATATAGATACATATAGACTATATACACAGGCACAATCATTGTATAGATTGTGAAATCAATGATATATAGATACATATAAATCTTGATGGATATACAGAAACATTCATTGCATAGATATATAGATACAATGATGAAAAGCTACATGAACATACAGATACAATGAAATATAGATAGATAGACATACTAATACAATCATTGTATAGATACATATATAGATACATAGTTACATAAATATGTAGCCACATAGACAGATACAATTAGATACAGATACATATGTAGATGCGTATATCTATATATTATTATATGATATTCCAATATATATATGAATAGATACACAAATACATAAATATATCTATATATGCATAATCGAGTTACTCATTCTGTTCTCTTTCCTCATTCAGCAAACGCATTGGCCCTGTGTCCGACTGCTGGAGCACACAGTCTGTCTGTCCGCGCTGGATGCGCTGAAGATCGAGCACGATGAATCTGAAACGGTCAACGCCATGGCCGGCCTCTCCATGCAGTCGCTGCACAGGTGAGCAATCAAACAATACACATATATATGTATATATATATATATATGTATATACATATTCATATATTCATATCTAATACTTCCCTCTCTTGGTGTAGAACGCTCTCGCGTGATGATTCCGAAGAGCCGATGGATCAGGATGAGACCAAATAGACGAACGCGCCGCCCTGCAACGCCGTCCACGTCGCCTGCTCAACGGACTCTATTTAGTTATTGTTGTAGTTGAAATTAATTGTTGTTTTTATTGTTGTTGATGTCATTTGTTGTTGCCGTCGTCGTCGTCATTATTGTTGTTGTTGATGTTGCTGTTGTTGTTGTAATTGTCATCATCACGCGATCGTCGTCTGTCGCTTAGCTCCATCTCTTTCTTTTACTCTCTCTCTCTCTCTCTCTCTTTCTCTCTCCATCTGTCTCCCTCTAACTCATTCTCTGCTCTGCACTCTCTGTCACACTCTAACTGTATTTGATACGCACAAGCCCCGACAAACACACAAACTCAGAGAGACTGAGAGACAGCAACAAATATAACAAATCAAATAGAAATGTAACCATGGAATGAGAAGGGGAAGGAGCAGAAAGAGGAGGAGCACCTGGAGGTGCAGATGAAGCAGCAGATGGAGCAGAAAAAGATCCGAGGCAGAGCCGGAGTAAAAAAGCAAGAAGTAGAAAGAGCTGGAAACAAGGCCTAAAGTTCAAAACGTGGCTGTGCCACTAAAAGCAAAAACAAAAACAATTTAAAAATAAAAACAAGTAAAGTAAACAAAACTAAAAACAATAACAAAATGTAAAGAGTAGAAGCAAACGAAAAGCAAAAAGCAAGCGGAAAGCAAAAACGTTTAAGAATCAACACAGTTATATAGAGTTTATATAAATATATAAAAGTATATATACATACATATGTATGTATGTATGTATATATAGAAATAGGTTAAGTCAAATGTATATATATATATATATATATATATATATATATATATATATGTATGTATGTATGTATATGTATGCATATATAGCTATAGTAGATCGTATTGTATGTGAATTAACGCAAGTTTCAACTGAAATGATAAAATAATAAATATAATATATAAATGTATGTAAAGATCAATAATTGTAATGCTAAATGTTAAAATTGATTCAAAGTCTATAAACAAACAAGGCACACACATAAGGAAATACATATGTACGTGCATACTATACCATATAAACTACTATATAAAGCCTGCATTTGTTAAAACGAATATTTGTAAAGAGATGTATGTATATATATTTATATATATTAATATATATTACACAATTGATATATATGCATATATATATATATATGTATGTATACTTAAATGTTGAACGTGCAAAAAAAAACTATTTTTATTTCTCGATTTATGTCTGTTGTGTGTAGCTCTATTATTATTATAATTATAAAGCTTATTATAATTACAACTATTTTAATTATTATTATTACTATATATATTTTTTTTAATGTATACATATGCGTGTTATATATAGATATATTTTGTGTATGTGAATGTTGAGAGTATGTGTTAAATTGAAATTGTAGCTCGATTGATAAAGTTATGAAAGTTAATGTTAAGTATATAAAATGAAAGTATAGCTGTAATACGATATGTAATATGATCCTATATGCATATACCTACATATATACATGTGTAATTATGTGTATATATATATATGTATATATATATATATATATATATATAATTATTTATATGTGTATATATGTGTGTATGTTAAAATAACAAATGTGAAATATGATTGTCAAACGATTATCTAGAATCTTTATTTATTAACTATTATGATTATGATGTTTTTTATGATTATAACAATTTGTTTTTCTTTCTTGTTCTCTTCTTGGGAGTGTGCAAATAGCCGCAATTTGTAGTTGTTCTCATTTCATTTAGTTTTTGTTTCTTGTGGCTTACATTAACTATTTAATAGATGGCGTGTAATATCTTGTTTTCGTTATAAAGGTGTATCTGTGCGTGTGTTAGTGTTAGTGTAGATTGGAATAATTGGACACATGATGAATGCACAGCAAAGTTGTTGTAATAGTGAAAAGCGCATAACTGTAAAAATAACACTAATCGAATAACCGCAGGCATACATATATATATTATATATATGAGTAACTTCGAGGGTAGTCTGAAAAGTTTGCTAACAATATATGGATATTATTTAAATTTAAAGAAGAATTTATTTAGTTTACATATCTTTGTTTACATTCAGACCATTTAGAAATATATATGTATATATATATATGTATATATATGTGTGTGTGTTTGGACATCTAAATTCAGATCTAAATTTCTATTTTGATCGCAACACGCAAATAAAACTAGGCGAACGTAAAATGAAATCTGTTGATAAGCTGGGCAGGCACCCAGCAATAAAAAAATGGTATAACGAAAAAACTAAGCTTAGATATATCCAAGATCTCGAGAATCGCTGTAAGACCCAAATACTATTTTGTATGCATGTATGAAGTGTGAATGTGTTTGCTTTTGAGAGAGCTATTAGTAATATATATATATATATATATATGTTAATCGAGCACAACGAGAGGATAGGAGCCGAGAAAATCTGATATGAGGCAACAAAATGTTAACAAGCGCTAAAACAATAATTGAATACAGCAACACAATATTCAAGTGAAAATTCAAATGCAAAATGCAAAATACAAAATACAAAAACATCTCCTCATTCCCAATAAGAGCTATAGACCGAGTCGATCGTTATCGATTCACTCCAAATCGGGCTGTTGTCCAGTTGTTATACTAGTAATCGTAAAATTGAATGAATGTTAGTCGAAAATATTTGCGATGATTTTTATTTCGGGAATGACAGCAATGAAAAACGAAGAATAAACAAATATTTGATATATAGTACAATATGTGCATGTGTTTACATAGTTTATAAGCCGAGAGTTACTTTGTTACTTGGACTCATCAGCTGTTACCCAACTCGATTCGTATAGACCGGCTAACGCACATGAGCTGTTGTTTAAGTTGCGCCTGGTTTTGAATCGGGCACAATTCATGAAATATTTTGTCGTTTTAGTATTAACGTACTTATATATGCATATACAAGTAATAACAAAACAAAATGTCTGTGTCGCTTTTTCTATATATATAATAATAAATGAAAACAAAGTGAAAATGAATACCACGAGTTTTTATTGCCTATTTTCAAAGATATTTCGAATGCATGTGTTATGACGCGCCATTTGCATAAAAGTGTGACCAGGCGTACAAACGACAGAAATCCACCAAATCCAATAAGAAACAATATTTTCTCTTACACTTGCTGCTCTCATTTTTAATTGTCATGGCAGCAATATGAACAGAGAGTCCAATCAGACTGATCCATCAGCGTCTCGTAAACATATATTCATATATAATATACATATGCATATGTATACGATTTCCCCATCTGGTGCAAAGTACTAAACACGCCTTATCGCCAGTTTATATGCTGTTTATTTGTGTGCGGTGAAAAGATCAGCCAACAGTTGTCTGCCATAAACTAGATGAGTTCTGGAATCGGCCTTCGTCTCTTTCACTAGCACTGCGTTAAAGGTGCTTTAATTCCCATATTAATGTCAACAAGAGATATGCATATAATGCATAAACGGGTCCAAAGTAGTACGCGTATCTTATCGATGCACAAATGTGGCATATGAAAAGATCAAGCTGTAGCTGATAAGCTGTAGAACCTGTTCACGTCCAGTTAGTTGTTGGTAAGACTCTGTGAACGACGCACAGAGCTGTGGAAAACACACAGCACAATGGAGGAAAATAGTGGTGAGTGTATTGATCTGAGGCGAGAGCGCGAGGCGGCGACAATTGTCACCGAAGACTTTGCTGTGTGGTGGGCGGGTGGACGTGGGCAGCTGGAGAAGCGCCGTGAGCTGGAGCAATACTTCTTCAGCGATCCCGAATTCGACGATGTAGCATCCTTCAACTACCTGTCGTACAAAGAGCGCTACGAGCATGTCCTGACGAGGGGCGCCAGATTTATAGCCAAGCTGCGGCAATGGCAGGCAAAGGAGCAGCAGTCCCAGCAGCAGGAAAAGGATAAGGACCGCGTGGACATCGAAGAGATATACGATTTCCGTCGGTTGCTGACTGGTCCTCTGGGTGCGGGCCTGTTCCCGCAGAGTTTCCCGTTGCGTCTGCACTTCGCCATGTTTCTGCCCACGCTGCTGAACCAGGGCGACGAGGAGCAGCAACGCCGCTGGCTGGCACGCGCCTGGAACATGGATGGCATTGTGGGCACCTATGCCCAGACGGAGCTCGGTCATGGCAGCTACATACGCGGCCTGGAGACGCGCGCCGACTATGACGTGGAAACAGAGGAGTTTGTTCTCAATACACCCACGATAAGCGCCTACAAATGGTGGCCCGGCGGCTTGGGCCATACGGCCAACATGGTCGTGGTGCTGGCCCAGCTCTACATCCGAGGCAAGCATTACGGCCTGCAATCGTTCCTGGTGCGCATACGGGATGAGCAGACGCACGAGCCCCTTCCGGGCATCGATGTGGGTGACATCGGCCCCAAAATAGGCGCCAATGGTGTGAACAATGGCTTCCTGGGCTTCCAGAACGTACGCATACCACGCAACCAGATGCTCATGAAGAATGCCCAAGTGCTGCCCGATGGCCAATTCAAGCAGGCTGGCCAGCCGCTCCTCCTGTACGGCACCATGGTCTATGTGCGCGTCGTCATTGTACGGGACGTAACGTACCAGCTGCTCCAAGCGGCGACCATTGCCACGCGGTAAGTGCGAGGAGGCATCCTTGGAGTGACACATCTTATTTGCATTTGCTTCCGCCTTGTAGCTACTCCGCCGTGCGACGCCAGAGTCCCATTGAGCCGAAGGCAAAGGAGCCCCAGATCCTGGACCATTTGACGCAGCAGGCGAAGATCTTTCCGCATATAGCGCGCGGCATCTGCTATCGCCTGGCGGCGGACGTCCTCTGGGCCTTCTATCAGCGCGTCATGCAGCAGGTGGAGACAAAGGACGGCGCTGGCCCGCTGGCCGAGCTGCACGCGCTCAGTTGCTGCCTCAAGGCTGTCTGCACCCAAGACGCCCTCGATGGCATCGATGTGCTGCGCAAATCCTGCGGCGGGCACGGCTACATGTCCTCCGCCAACTTTGACAGCCTCCATGGCCTGGCTGCCGCCGCCTTCACCTACGAGGGCGAGCACACGGTGCTGTTGCTGCAGACGGCCCGCTTTCTGATGCGCCAGTTCACGGCTGCGATCAAGCGCAAGGTGCTGCCCGCCAGCGTCAGCTATCTGCGCAACGCGTCGCCTCTCAGCTGGGGCGGCAATCTGCTCGAGAATGCAGCCCGTGCGCTGGAGATCAGCGCCAGTGAGCAGCTGCGCGACGCCTGGCAATGGCAGCAGAAACAGCGCCAGGCTCACAGCCGCACTGAGCAGCAAGCCAACAACTTCGCTGGACGACGACTCGCGGCGGCGGCTACACTGCATGGCCACGCCTTCTTGGCACGCAACGCCCTCGAGCAGCTGGCCCAGCTGAAGAGGAGCACGAATCAGGGACTGTTTGTGCTGCTGCAGCAGCTGGTGGAACTGTTTGTGCTGGACACATTCCAGCGCCAGCTGGGCGCCATACTCAAGTGGAACAGCGTTAGCGGACAGCAGCTGCAGCAGCTAGAGCAGCGCTACGAGGAGCTGCTGGGCGCACTGCGTCCCAATGCCGTGGCTCTAGTCGATGGCTTTGACTTCCATGATCGCGTGCTCAACTCAACGCTGGGCTGCTGGGATGGGCGCGTGTACGAGCGTCTGTTCGAGGAGGCGCGTCGCAATCCACTTAACCAGGAGGCTGTCAACCGCAGCTATCACACGCATCTGAAGGCACTGCTGCAGTCGAGCAAGCTATGAGGCTTTGTGACTGGTCTCTTTATTGTGGATGGGCAGAAAACAACACAGAAAGCATCACGGTTTAAGCTAATAAATTAATTATGGAATATGATATAATATATATAGAAAAATATAACATTTAGAACATCTTCTTCTTAACCGCCGTGTATCGCTCCATGTAGACGTCGTAGCCATCGAGATCGGTGAATTGTTTCGAATTGAACAGATTACCATCGACGGCTAGATTAGAGATCTTAGAGTCCTTGAGGATACGCGGCGTCAGTGCAATCGCCTGCAAACAGTTCTCCTCAAGCCTAAGCGTCTTCAATTTGGGGCAATCAGCAATTTCTTCGGCCAGGGCTGAGATTTGGTTTTGATTGAGGTTCAGCTCGGTTACATAAAGGTTGCCCACCTCGGCAGGCACGTCGGTAATCTGATTTCGCGACAAGTCCAGCACATCCAATTGCTTTAATCCACAGAGCATCGTTGGGAATTCCTTGAGCTGATTGTTGCACAGATTCACGGTTTTGAGGTGCGTGCAATTGTTTAGTGACTTTGGTAGCTTTGTCAGGAAATTGTTCATGAGCAGGAGCACCTCCAGTTTCACCAGCTCTCCGACCACCTCGTTCAGTTCCGACAGTCGATTGCCACTCAAATTGAGGTGTTTCAGCATCGTTAGCCTACCCAGTTCATCGGGTACACTTTCGAAGCGATTCTCTGACAAATCAAGGGTCTTCAACACATTGGGATATGACTTTAGCTGCGGTGGGAACTCCTGCAGCCGTTGCAACGATATTTTGAGCACGCCCGTCTTCTGTGCCGTCTCCAGATGCTGTTTTATTTGTTTATTTCCCATGTCCGTGCTCCTGCTCAACTCTGAGCTATTGATGGTGGATATTGATCTCATATCGATATATCTATCGATGGCTCTCAATTTTGCAATAATATGCGATATTTTATCGATATAGCGAGCACGAACGATATCGATAGGCTATGGTTGCTTTGGAAAGCGAACGATATCGATGGCCTTTGGTTATTCTGGAAAGAACATACAGAGGCTTGCAAGCAAGAGAAGTAAATTTACAAAATTTTGAAAAAGAGGCCGAAATTCTGACATATATTTGATCGAGGAGCTGTTCAGTGCCATATCGTGAGTAGCTAAATGTGATATCTGATTGCGTGTATAATTTTGTGTATATAAACATATAAAAATATTCAAATTTTAACATAACGACTATATATAAATTTTAAGTTTTATTCATAAAATTATATTCATAGTATCTTTCCAAACTTATTTGGCTGCATGAATTTATTTTAGGCGAATAGGCTACTACACTGAAATAGTGTCAAAGAGTTGTCAGAAGCCAATATTAATATTAACATTTTCAAACGCCAAAATTTTCTACCTCTTTCCATACAGATTATTTAGCGATAGTTAATCGATAGCTGTGAGCAAGCACAACTATTGGCGTTTTACAATACTTTGAATTTCACCACTGGTGAAGCTGTCATAAAATATTAGCGTGGACTACCGCACGCATCGAAGGCATTCGAAGGTTTTCAATTTGGTAAGTTGTGGGGCGAAAAGTGCATTTGAAAAGCTGCACTTGCTAACGGGCGAACTGTAATTACTCGATCTTTTTGCACAGTCAACGCTGTTGAGCACAGTATCACTCACGCTTTTATCCAACACAAGCGGCTGAACGTGAAGCACGCGCTACTTTCTGTTGCGAACTTTGCGAGTTAACAGTGAAAAACCGGCGACGAAAGCTGCGACATTTCTATCGAAAGTTGAAATTGAAAAGGCGGTAAAAATGCCAAAGGATACTATAACTAAGGTTCAGGAGTACAAGGACTCGCTGATTACTAAAGCGGAGACTCTGATCACAAAGGGCTTTCCCGAGAAAATCGTCGAACTGAATGAGCTTCTGTCCACGGCCATGTTCAATGAGCGCAACTTCAATGAGGTGCATCAGGATCTAAACATTCCGGTCATGGCACCCATCTTGCTCAATAACCATGACAACGACGGCAACGGCGACGACGACCATCCCATGCCGAAGCGCGCACGCAAAGAAGACGTCTCCGGTACCACTGTACTGACCTTGCCCTCTGGCACTGTGCCGTGCAACAAGCCGCTTTGCGAAATGATTAAGGTGGTCAAACCAATCATACGCAAGCTGGTCGAGGATTGTAAGTAACTATATTTTTTTTTTTTTTTTTTTTTTTTTCACAAAATCATCTGAAATTGATGTCTCTATCTCTCTTGCTCTTTGCATTGCTTAGCGAACTTACTGAAGATGTGGATCTCGTTTATGATACCTAAAATCGAGGATGGCAACAACTTTGGCGTTTCTATTCAGGAGGACACTCTGGCTGAAATCCAAACCGTGGAGTCGGAGGCAGCTGCCTTCTTTGACCAGATATCCAGATACTTTCTATCTCGCGCCAAGGTTGTCTCCAAGGTGGCCAAGTATCCACACATCGATGATTACAGGCGTGCTGTCGTCGAGCTTGACGAGAAGGAGTATCTCAGTTTGTGGCTGGTGGTGTGCGAGGTGCGCAATCGCTACTCCTCGCTACATGACATAGTTATAAAGAATCTGGAGAAGCTGAAGAAGCCGCGCTCTTCGAACACTGAGAGCCTATACTAGACTCTCCCACTTATCTTAATTTGTTTCTTAAAGTTAACATGAACAGACTACAGCCTCCTGCTTTCTAATAAACAGGAAGCCAACAGCATCTACATCCGCATCTAGACAACGCGTCCCACTGAATCAGGGAGCACCAGTTAAACTAAACAATTCAAATACACTTAAAAATTTCCACATGAAATGGTTTGTTATTTTTAAAACTAGAGAAGAATTTGCAAGAGATTTAATCAAGAGGAGATTGCCTTTAGGCGATATGTTAATAGCGGACAGTTCTTAAGGACAGTTTAATGTAATACAACTACATATAATTGGATATCTAGATTATAATCTAGATTAAAGTAATATACTATACAAAACTGAAGTCGATGCTAATTATAGATTCCAAGCAATAGCTTAAGCTATATACATACATACACATAAACACAAATAAAATAAAACAAGTCAAAGCTCGGACGTTCTAAAAAAAAAAAAAAAATACATACATACATATTAATAACAAATTCTACAACATGAGTTTAACTGTTAATGAAAGCTGTAATAAATATGGGGAGTACTCGCAAATTTGTATACATAAGGCATTTTGCGTTTATCTTAATAGAGAAGGTAAAATTAGCGGGCTCATTTTGGATGCTACAACTTTCTTTGGCATGTGGTCTGAGCAAATACGCACGTATGTATGTATGTGTGTACATGTGACGAATACATATATATGTATGTATTGTGTGCATGTCGTTGCATGTGCACTTGTGGTATTTGCTAGCCACGTGGCTTAGTTTGATAGGGAGGTGGAATAATGCGAGGGGAATTCCGACATGTATGTATGTATGTATGTGTCCTGCGGTGAAAATAAATTAGTTATTTTATCGTTTATCGCATATAGAGATGGAATAATAATAGAGCATGCTGCGATTAGACTACATGGCATGTATGAGCAGAAATATGTACATATGTATGTATGCATACAAAATAAAATGCGCCACTTTTTTTGAGAATAAACCATGTTGCAATTAAATTCCAAATAACAATGGTTGGCCGGTGACACAAGTCATCTGTGTCACTCCCCATCATCCATTCAGGGTCACATCGGTCAACAAGTTTTGTATAAAAATTTAGCTAAAATACCAGGCGATCAGCAATTAGCAGAACGTAAACAGATTTCAGCAAAGGGAAAACTGTTTGCATACGCACCAGGGGCAGCAGGCGTTACTGTTAAGCTGCAGCTGCTGCCAATGTAAGTTCACGATTCAGTGACTGAGTCTTTTAACAGTGATGTAAGCCAGCTACTTGACAGCTTCAGCTCATGCTGTTAAAATAGCCTAGAGAGAGCAAAAGAGAGAGAGAGAGAGAGAGAGACGAAGAGACAAAAGGCACGTTTTGTTATACATTTGTTTTGTTGTTGTTTTATTCTTTTTTTGTTTGTTGTTTGTATTTGTTTTTATTTTTGTTTTGTTTGCTTTTTAATATGTTGTATTTAATTTTATATTATTATTTTTTAAGCTTACAACTTAAGGCATAAAGTTACAAACTAAAACTTAAGAGCTACACATCGTTCTCTTTACTTGTTGTTTATCAATCAAAATCAGCTCTAGCCGTATATATATTCATGTGTATATGTAAATGTATATATATAATCATATATAACCATACATATACACGCACACATATACTTATTTTTATTTTTATTTGTTTATTATTATATTTATTTGAATCTTTCTTTATCGAACATTCAAAATTGTTTTTTGTTTTTGTTTTCTTTTTTTCACTTGGTTTCTTTGTATATTCCGTATATTCTTCCATAAATTGTATATTCAAACAGAAAAGTATCAAATAAATAAACATAAAAACAAACATGTTTGCTCAAACTATCGACTTTGTTGCTGTTGTTATTACATATTGTTAATATATATTCATATATGCATTTTAATTTTATTTTCTCAATATTTGTGTGTGTTTTACATACATTTTCATTTTAATTTTTGGGATCATATATATCATTATCATATTTTGCTTTGTTTTTTAATTAAAATTCGATAACTTTTATTTAATTCTCTCTTTTGCTTTTTGGGATTTGCATTGAATTTATTGATATATATATATATACATACATATATATATATTTGTTTATAAGGGAATATATGGAACTGCGCTTCGTTGTGTTCAGGCGACTCTGTCACTAGGTCTATGAGTTCGTCGGTTCCTTGACTCAGCTACCATATATGTATATATATACATATATATATGGTACATATATATATACATATATACGTGCACACACATATATTTATATGTAAACATACACTTTTTTACACATCTATATATATGTTGTATAATTTTCTTTTTCACTCTCATTCTATATATATATATATATATATATATGTATATATATATATACGTACATATATGTATTCATTTATTTATTAAAAAAAAGTCGGGACATACTCTACAACAAAGTTGCATGTTTGTATGTGTGTATAGCTACATATGTGCTCGTGTGGGTGTGTACTATATATATATATATATATATATATATATATATATATATATATATATATATATATATATATATATATATATATATATATATATAAATACAACGTCAATATATGCCATGCCCTTGCACTTTAATGAATTGTTTCTTTTTTTTAATGTTTTCAATATAAGTATATTTATATATATACATACATATACATACATACACACACACACACACACACATATATATATATATATATATATGCATACAAATGCATGTCTACATATTTTGTATATTTGTTTTGTTTATAAGTTTCTGTTAATATTTTACAAATGTTTGTTGAATAAGTCTTAGCGTTTTGTTGTGGTTTTTATATTTATTTTTTTTTTTCTTTTTTCATTCCTTTTTTTTTAGTTACATTGTGTATTAAAAATATTTAATTTTTGTAAATTTTTTCATTTGCTTTTTTTAACTCTTGTTTTAAAATGTTTTGCATTTAAAAAATAATTAAAAAAAAAAAAACATAAACGGTAAAATAGCTAAACCCTAAGACATCGTTTTTCTCGTTTTATTTTTTGTTTGCTATATAAAAAAATATGCATATTTGTATAATAATAATAATAATAATAATAATAATTTTAATAATATATATAAATTGTATTGTATATATGTATGTATATATATAGAGTTGTTTTTTTTTTTTTTATTTAACTTTGACTTACATAATTTTTTATCATAATAAACGTACATAATTCAATAGCATAAAGCATACATCATACACATATACATATACATATGTATGTATATATATACACATTATATTATATTATATTATATGCATCCATATGTTTCATAAAAAAAAAACAATAATGCTTTATAAATTAAAAACTTACACATAGAAAATAGTAAAAAAAAAAATAGTAATAGATAGTACAAAAAGTAATTATTTTATATTTTAAAAATTATGTTTTAGATTTTATGAAATTTACAAAATATTCTTTTAAATTAATGTTTTTGCAAGTGTACTATATCGTTATATATATGTATAAATGTATATATATATATAAATTTGTTTTCATTTATGTATTAATCAATTTTTGCTTTTATTTTAGTTTTGTTTATTTAATTATTTTTTATTTTATTTTATTTTATTTTTATTTTTTTTGTAGATTTTTTTCTCTTTTCTAAGAACAGCCCAACAGTGTGTGTTTATTTTCATTTAATATATTATTTAAATTTACTCGATTAATATATATGTATTTATGTTATATAATTTTCATCTTTAAATGTACATATACATATTTTTATTTATATTTTCATATAAATGTCACTACATTTTATTTCCTTATGGTTTCGACTCAAGTTCTGAGGTTTATTTACGTTTGGGCTACAAATTACAACGAATGCACATAACTGAAAGGTCAAATCGAATTACGATAACAAAGAGTAAGAGAGAGGGAGAGAGAGTGAGATAGAGCGTGGCACACAACAAAACACGAGAACAGTGTGAGACAGAGACGAGTCTGTGCAAGGATGTGAGTGAGAGTGAGAGCGAAAGCGCGAGTTGACATCGATCCCAAGGAAGCGTCGCATCGTTTCAAGAGAAAGATGGAAAGTGAGAGTGGAAGTGCAGCAGCAGTTGCTGATTCTCTTTATATACACATATATGTAAATGTAGATATAGATATATATATATATATATACATACACATACTTAACACATACACATTGCGTATACAAGCATGTGCTCTACGATAATTTGAAGATTTTGCATGCCTAACTACAGTTTGCAATATTTAAATAATTATTTTATTTTTGGTGCGTGCGTGCGTGCGTGTGTCCATTAAGTGTGTGTGCGTGTGTTTGTGTGTGTGTTTCGAATCAATCAATGAGTGGGAGCAATAGAAAAGCGGGTGGGCGGTCTGTCGCTCGATCGGTTTAGTAAGAGAAATTGCATGGCAGCTCTATGCTCCAAATGCACCGACTCCATACATATATATGGCGTGTGTGTGTGTGTGTGTGCATGCTGTTGCGTTGCTTCTCGAACTCTCTTTGCAGTTTTCACTCAAAGCTCTTTTACGATTTGTGCGCTCGCACCGTATGCTTAGAAGGGAGAGAGAGAGAGACAGGGATAACTGGACGAACTGTTCGGATCGGCAGGCTCTCTCTTAATTAGCGATGCTCTCTTCAAAACAGGCGATGCTTAACTGTGTCAGCTAGTTACATTTCTTCTTTTTTTCTTGCCTTCTTATGCTGCATTTTTGCTTTCTCTGTAATGGTTGTGTTTCTCGAATAATATTTGCTCAGGAGCTTTCTGTATTTAACTGCTTATAGTACATACATAGGTTGTTATTGTTGTGTTTTTTCTGTTGCCGATCTCCTTGCATGGTTTTCAATAATAGCCGTGACCAGCGCTAGCGCCGCTGCCCGCACTGCTAGCATAGTGATGTGCAGCTGCAGCGGCCGCGGCTGCTGCTGCCGCCGGATCAGCGTAGTAATGCGCGCGCTGTTGCTGTTGCTGCTGTGCCAATGCTGCCGCTGACGACGTCGACTGCAGCGGTGGTGGTGGCAGCAGCGCTGTCGGCTGATAATGCGCCTGATGGTGACTGCGCGGCGAATGCAGCGGCTGCTGCTGCTGTTGTTGCTGCTGTGGCTGCGGCTGAGACAGAGGCTGCTGATGACGTCGATAGGCAGCACTGGTGCTCCATATATGCGGCTGCGGCTGCTGCTGCTGCTGTTGGTGCTGTTGGTGCTGCTGGTGCTGCTGGTGCTGGTAGACATTGGCTGCGCTGTGTTGATTGGCTGCTGGAGGCGTCGTCGCTGCTGCCGTCAGACTGCGCATGCCGGACGACGACGCCTGCAGTCACAACTAATCTTCGTCGCTGAGCGCTTCGTACTTCGATGAGAGCAGAGGCTTTGGCTCGCTGGCAGCAGCTGCTGCTGCTGCGGCAGCCGCAGCGACGGCTAACACGCTGGCGTTCAGCGGACCACCGCTGCCACCGCCGCCGCCGACGCTAGAGGCGGGGTTCACGCCGGCATTTGAGCAGCCGCCGCTGGCGCTGCCGCCACCTCCAACGACCAGACTGACGCCCGCTGCTGCTGCGGCGCTCGCTTCGCTCAGCGCATGTGCCGCTGCCTTGACGTTCAAATGGCTCGGCGGTGCTGACTGATGGGCCAGCGGCAGCACCGTCGGCGGCGGCAGAGCCCCAGCAGCGCTCGGCACAGTCAGCGCACTGAAGGGATACGCATAGGTGCTCGCCGCAAACGCATTCACCGCCGACGGCGGTGGCGGCGGTGCCGCATGATAGGCGGACGCATGATGGCTGTTCGAGCCACCGCTCGAGCTGCTGGCCGAGCGCCTGCCGCTGTCCACCACCTCGTACTGGTTGGGTGTCTTCCTTGAGACGCTGATCTCTGGCTCCTTGCTCCTATGCTGCTGTTGCTGCTGCTGCTGTTGTTGCTGTTGCTGCTGCTGCTGTTGTTCATTGTGGGCCGCCACGGCGACGGCATGGGCGTGTGTCATGTGCGGCACCTGGACGTAGCCGGAATCATCACGCATTGCCTCCACAATGCGATTCTTCACATAGTTGTCGAAGTTGGCGCCCGAGCCGCTGCCTCCGCCGCCGCTGCCGCTGCGTTGTTCGCTGCCGCCGCGCGGTTCGCTAATGCTGCGTGGCTCGCCGCCGCCGCCGCCACCGCCACTCGTTGGAGGTGGCGGGACAACAACACCACCGCCTCCACTGCTGCGCCCGACCACAGCGCTGGGCGGTGCAGAGAGGAAGTAGTGCGCCGGATCGGCGCCAACAGCAACGGCGGCCTGCTGCATGATCAGATCGTGGGCGTACTTGCGCGGACTGATCGCCTGGGGCATGCGAATGATGTTGCGCGCATCCTCGCCAGGCGTATTGGCGCGACCGCCGCTGCTGGCGCTGCTGTTGCTGCCGATGCCGCTGCTGCTGCTGCTGCTGCCGCCGTCGCTGCTGCTGCCGCCAACGCTGCGCACGCTGCCAACGCCGCCGCCAACGACATTGATCGGCGACTGCTTGGCCCGCTCGACGGCCGCCGCCGCAGCGGCTGCCTCCTCGGCTTTCTGCTGCTGCCGGCGATTCTGCTTCCAGCGATCGGGCGTCACGATGGCCTGCGTCTCCGGCAGATAAGGCAGGAAGGTGCGCATGTGCGGAGTCGGCCCGTAATCGTTCGTAATTATCGAGTCAGTCAGCTCGCCGAACGTGATTTTCTTCGTGTAGATCTGCTGCTGTGCCGTCGGACCGCTGCCCGCCTGCGAAATGGGCGTGCCATGATGCGAGGGCGGCGCCCCCTGGCCACGCAGCGAGCCGTGCACAGAGCGCTCCGAGCTGGACTGCGATTGCTGCTGCTGCTGCTGCTGCTGCTGCTGATGCTGCTGCTGTTGCTGCTGCTGCTGCTGTTGCTGCTGCTGTTGCTGTTGCTGCTGTTGTTGCTGCTGTTGTTGCTGCTGCTGCTGCTGCTGTTGCTGTTGTGATGGACGTTGCTCCTGCTCCAGATCGATGCTGTTGACATTGGGCGAACTGGAGTTCGCCTTGCCATTGTTCTCGGCGGCCATGAGCGAGACGGCAGCGCCCTCATGTGACGGCCGCAAGTCGCGCTGATACTGCAAAGGAAGCGAGTGTGAGAGAGGGTGTTCAGTCAGTCAGCAAGGGTATCCCCGCCTACTCTCGAGTCGAGGATCTCAAAAGGGTCTACTCACGTAGGTGGGACGCGGTATGTCGCGGGGCAGGCTGCTGAGCTCGCCAGTGCGATTGATCTCGTGCTTGATGATGGCATCAATCAGGGCCTGGGCGCTGAACTGCCCGGCATCCTCCGGCGGCTTACTGCCGTGTGCCTGTCGGTAGTAGCTGCAACATGGAAAGATTGAGTCAGTGATTGATCGATTGAAATGCATTGATTGTAAAGTAATTAGCTAGCGTGCACAGCTGATTGATTAATCAATTGATTGATGCTGATTGCTGGCTGATGCTGATAGGTAATAATACTACAGCTACTTGATCTTGTTTTAGATGGAATTCTTCAAAATTTGTAAATCTCATTATTTTTATTTTTGATTGATCGCAATTTGTAATTAAATGATTGATTACAATTCGCAACTGGTTTTGACATGAATTTCATTGATTTGATTTATATCAGCTTTGAAATCAATCAGCATATGCATGTTAGATATTTTATTGTCAAAATTGATTGGTTGATTGAGTGATGTAATGCGATGCGATCGATGTGATTGACTGCATTGAAAACATTTGAGTGATTTAAAGAAATTCAAGGATTGATTGCAGGTAATTCCCATATTGATTGATAAGCTCTGAATCCCGGATTAATTCGAAGCAATTCACAGATTGATTGATATGGTCGGACTCTCTATTTGATTGAAGGCAATTCCCAGATTGATTGATATTCTTAGATTGATTGAAGTCAATTTCCAGATTGATTGAATGATTTAATTCTCTGATTGATTGAAGACAGTTTATGGATTGTTTGATATGGCTTGATTCTCTGATTGATTGAAGCAAATTCACGGATTGATGGATATGGCTTGATTCTCTGATTGATTGAAAGCAATTCACAGATTGATATGGTTTCCCTGATTGATTATAAGTAGCTCACAGATTGATTGCTAGATATGGTCTACTTACGCATCTCGCTCTCGATCAGGAATGGTGCGCGGTGGCCCGGTCTCGGGCACCGTGCCACGTATGTAGTGGCTGTGGCTACTGTGGGCGTGGCCATGCGGATGGCCAGGCGGTGGCGCAACGGCAGCGGCCAGCATGCGCTCCATGCGCCGGCTGTCCCGCTCTCGCTCCTCGGCTGCACGCTCCTGTTCGCGGCGCTCCTGCTCGCGTCGCTGTCGCTCTTGGTCGCGCTGCCGCTGTATCTCGCGCTCCCGCTCAATGTGGTTGATCTGGCGCTGGTCTCGCTTCACCTGCTCCATGCGGCGCTGCATCTCGTAGGCGGCGGCCGTGTTCAGGTGCCTGTACTGCTGCTGGACCAGCTGCTGCTGCACCGCGGCTGCCATATGATAGCTCGCCAGGGAGTCGGTGCGGTAGCGCAGATCATGGTGTGCAGCTGGCGGCACCGCCTGGCCGGAAGCAACTTGCGCATGCGTTATTATCTGGCCGTGCGTCGATGGCGGCGGCTGTGGCTGTGGCGCCGGTTGCGGCACTGCCAATTTGTCATCCTTCTGCGACGGCACCGGCAGCTGCGGCTGCTGTACGGCCACGTCCACAAACGAGGCCAAGGCATCGTGGCCAGCTGTTCAAAAAGAGAGAGAGAGAGAGAGAGAGAGAGAGAGATGGAGACGAGGCAGGATTAAAACGGTATTCAGTAAGAGCGATTCACGTTGATCAATCACTTACCTGGTGGAAAATTGTAGGGCGTGACAATGTGCATGCGACTCGGGGGCGGCGCAGCAGGCGAAGGCGGCTTCGAGCCGGTGTTGTGGCGCTGAATGACGCCCTGGCGCTGGGGCGGCGGAGTGCGGTGCGGACTGGGTGTGCTGCAGGCAGAGAAAGAGAAAGAGAGAGAGAGAGACAGAATTTAGTATCGAGTATTCAATGATGAACTATCTAACGTTCAGTCAGCCAGTCAGTCAATCACAGTCAATCATTCACTAATCAATCAATCTAAATAAATAATTGCTTGAGCGTTCAAGCAAGAGGTCAGTCAGTCCACATCAGACAACGTCAGTCAGCCAATCAATCAATTATCTAAAATGTCAATCATCAGTCATTAGATCAATCAGTCAATTAACCAATCTGTTTGTCAATCAATCAATCAACAGTTCACACAATTAATCAATCAATTTGCTCTCAATCAAGCGGTCAATGCTTCAGATAACTTTCAACTCAATCATTTATCAAATCAGTCAGTCAATCAGTCAATCAGTCAGTGAGTCCGTCAATCACTAGATATGCACTCACCTATTGGAATGATCGGCCGGTGAGGCGCGACTGGAATATTCGGGTCGTCCGCGAGGCTGCGGCTCCTTCTCATAGCCCGGATAGACAGCTGAGCTGCCGCTGATGCTGTTGCGTGGCGATGGCGACTCCTTGTCGGAGCCGGAGCCGGCGCCACCGCCGGCGCTGCTGCTGCCGCGGGAGACATTGCGCTGCTGCTGGCCCTGCATCTGCTGCGACGTGTGGTAGTCGTTGATCACGATCTGCCTCGAGCTGAGCGCCGAGGCCTGCTCGACCGCGCTGTACGGCGAGCGCGAGTAGGGCGATCCGACGGTAACGCCCACGCCGTAGCCCTGAGGCGGCGGCGCCTGTGGCGACGACTGCTGCGGCGGCGGCGGCGCCTGGGCGGGACTCAAGCGCTGCGAGCTCTTGTAGAAGTCGTACGCCCGCTTGCTGTCCAAGTGGTGGGGCGGCAGATGGAGGGGCGTGCCCTGCGTAATCGAGCCATGCTTGCCCGTATCCGGGCAGCTGCCAGGCGGCGTCTGACGCACCAGGCTCTCGTACTTGGGACTGGGCAGCGACGAGGGCGCGGCATGGACAATGATTTGCTGCTGTTGCTGCTGCTGCTGCTGCTGTTGTTGCTGTTGCTGCTGCTGCGAGGTGTTGGCGGGCGTGCCGTGGGTTATGGAGCCGCCTTTGACTAGCTGCAACTGTTGCTGCTGCTGCTGTTGTTGGGCACTCGACTGCTGCTGTTGCTGCGGCGATGGCATCTGGCTGTGCAAGTGCTGCTGCTGCTGCTGCGGACTGAGCTTGGGCGGCAGCTTGGAGACGCGCGTCGGCGGTGGCTGCGGCTGGGCGGGCGGCGGCGGCGTTGGGCGCGTCATCTGGCCTTGGCCAATGGGTACAGGTACGGGTTGGACATACAGCGAGCCCGGCTGTGCCGGTCCAGGCGCTGTCTTCACCACGCCCACACCCACGCCCACGCCGTGCAGCTGCTGGTAGGTCAAATAGCTGGAGGCGGGCGGCGGAGCACCCGACACCGACAAACTGGGCATCGAGGCATCGCCCCGGTACATGGACGAGGTGCGCACAATATGCTTCATCGCACCGCCCATGCTTGGCGGCGGCGGGCCATGGTGCCGCTCCACAGAGCTCGCCACCGAGCTGTGCGCATGCGGATGCGTGTGCGGCGAGTGGCCCTCGCGCGGTGTCTTCTTGATGCTCAGGTCCAGCGTCTGCGGCTCCGGCTCCGGCGGCAAGCGCTGCTGCACCGGTGGCGCGTGCACCGTATGCGTGGGCGGCGGTGCCGACTGCGCCGGTGGCTGCTGCTGGTGCTGGGCGGCCAAGTGGCTGCCAGACACATTGTAGATGATCGTGTCGGGGGGCGTCGGCGTAATGGCGCTCTTTTTCAACACCGGCGTAATCGTGGCCTTGTCCACGCCGCTCGACAACTGTTGCTGCTGCTGCTGCTGCTGTTGTTGCTGTTGCTGTTGCTGTTGCTGCTGCAGCAGTGGATGTGACATGTGCACATGATGCGGGGCGAGATGCGAGTTGACTACAGACAGAGTGGCCAAGTTGTCGCTGCTGTTGTTGCTGTTGCTGTTGTTGCTGCTGGCATTGTTGTTGCTGCTGCTGTTGCCGCTGCTGCTGCCACTGCTATTCACCGAGTTCGACGGCGGCCCAGGACGCGAGCTCAACTTTTGCACAGAGGTGCCATGCGGCAAGCCCGCTGGCTGTTGCTGCTGCTGCTGCTGCTGCAATTGTTGCTGCTGCTGTTGCTGCTGCTGCTGCTGTTGTTGCTGTTGCTTAAGCAAGGCATTGCCATCTTGTCGATATTCACGCACTATTGTCAGTTCCTTGCGATCCAAATTATTGTGCGCCTGCTGCTGCTGTTGCTGCTGCTGCTGCTGTTGCTGTTGCTGCTGCTGCTGCTGGCTGACTTGCTTGCCCTGATTGTTGCCTGGCAGCTGCGGCCCCTTGGCCTGTTGCTTCAGCTGTCGCTCAATTACAGAGAATACACAATCCTGCACATTGACTGGCTCGCGACGCTGGCTCATCGGTCCATTCGGCTGCTGCTGCTGCTGCTGCTGCTGTTGTTGCTGTGCAGTGAGAGCAACAGCTGCTGCTGATGCGGCATTCGGCGGCTGCAGCCCGGCCACATTGTTATTGCCGTGCCCGTGGCCATGCCCATGGGCTGGATGGGCATGCGCATGCGAGACCGCATTGAAGATCACTTTGGGACTCTGTCGATTCGCTGGCGAATTCTCATTCTCCTCGTCCGCCGTCTCTGTCGCCGAAGAGTCGTACTCCTCGCTGGTCTTCTGCTTCTTCGGCGCTTGGCATGCTGGCGGCAGCAGGCGTTCGCTGTCGTTGCCACCAACAGCTGCTGCTGCTGCTGCGGCTGCCTTGGCGGACATGCGAGTGGGCGTAATGGTTAAAGCGGCGCCGGATGCGTCTGCTACGCTGCGCACATTGGCAGCTCCTGCTGGTTGTTGTTGTTGTTGTTGTTGCTGTTGCGGCTTTTGTGGTACTGGCGGCGGCTGTGGCAGCTGCTGCTGTTGCGGTGGCAACTGCTGCTGCTGTTGCTGCTGCTGCTGCTGTTGTTGCTGTTGTTGTTGCTGCTGTTGCTGCTGCTGTTGTTGCTGTTGCTGTTGTTGTTGCTGCTGCTGCTGCTTGTTCAGCTGCGACTTGTGCCGCTGCAGATACTCGGGACTCTCCACGGAGGCGGTGTCCGAGCCGCCTGGCTCGCGCTCATCACAGGACGAAGTGCTCACATCGGTCTCATCGCCAGCGCTGGCATCGCCGCTGCCAACGCCGCCGCGACGTCGCTCCTCATCGGTGAGATTCAGGAGCGGATCGAGCTTGCGCCGTATGCGCATCAGGCAGGCGGAACAGCAGCGTGTGGCATGCAGCTTGATCTGGAACTCGGCCATCAGCGGGTCACGCAGCTCCGGCGCCAGCTCGAACAGCCGTGTGGGTATGTTCCGCAGGCGCTGCGCCCGATCCTTGGGATTGGGGCACGTGGGCAGCGGACAGTTGGGATAGCGATTGCGCACCGATTTGCATTGGCAGCTGTTGCAGACGCGTGCGCCCGCTGGTATCGTTTCGTCTGGGATTGCATATTGCTGGCCACGCCCCTTCTTCAATGGGCGAGTGCGCAGGCAGGCCTCCGTCTTGCAAACAAAACAGCTTGCCAGTTTATCTAAAGAGAGAGAGAGAGGGGAGAAGGTTGATGAGTAAAAGTTAAGCAAACACATTTTTATAATAAAAAGCGATTTAATTAAAGTCAAACTGGAAATGGGAAGAACTGGGCGAATGGTAAACAATTTACCACTAGGCGGGCTGGCCGACTGCTCCAGCGCCGAGGAAGGACGAAGGACGCAGGACGCTGGGCGAAGGACGAAGGACGCCTTCATTAAGCCACTTAACAAATAATGAGCAGCAAAAGCGGCGGGCAGCATCAGCCAATTGAATATTTTAAAGCTCTTCGCCCTGTTTGCCTGCACAGAGCCTCGGTGTGGGCGTGGCAGTAGGTGGGTGGGTGGCTGGGTTGTGTGATAAGTGAGAAGTGCAGAGAGCGACTAGCTGAGGTAGGAAAATGCTGCAGCGTCTACAATTTATGCGTGACGCTCAATTGCTATCGATATTTATCGAATGTGAGCGATAAGCATAAGTTGGAGTAGCCATCGCTAATTTTCAGCAACTGCTCAACTGTTATCGATTGGTAATTTCACATGTTATGCTTTGTCAGCAAATGTTATCGAATATATTGTTGTCATTATAAAACAGGCCAATCGATTAGTAATACCAAATAGTCAATCGATATGTTATCGATCAATTGTAATTTGCTACTGCTGATATATTTTATTAAATGCTCGAACAACAATAAATATCGATAACATGGAAATAATCAAAGTACTATCGATTTTGAAATTATATTGATTTATATTATTAGCAGCTACTAGACTACAATCGATGCATTGTTATTAAATGATCGATACATTTTACTAATTAATCAAAATATATTTTAATAACTATCGATATACTTTGATTGTCAGCTAACGTTATCGATTATAATGGATTGTACTCAATTCTATATTCGAATACTTGACTCCCTTTCGGTGCGCTCCATCTTCAAAGAGCATACGAAATTCTATTCGCTCCCCGGAAAAATCCCCAATGATGAAAAATACGAAAAAGAATCCCTTGAAACGCTGGCCATGTCTGAATTTGTGCTGCATTCGTGTTTGTCTTAGTTTTTTGTTTTGCCATTTAATATTTTTACAATTTTAATGATGTGCAAATAGAGACAGAGAAGTAGAACGAGAGAGAGAGAGACAGAGCGAGGGAGAGAGAGGGAGAGTGAGCGAGCGAGAGGGCAAACAATGTGCCGCGCGCGCGTTTAATCAAAATCAATGTAATTAAAATAAAGGCAAATAAAACATTGAGCTACAGCGACTGAAGGGGTTGAGTCTATCAGTGTGTGTGTGTGTGTGGAGTGAGGTGGGGTGGGCGTGGTATGGTAAGGGAACTTAAGTAGCTGCCAGCAAGCAAAATCAATCAACGTTTAAATGTCAGAGACAAACGTTAAGGCTCTTGCAGAAGTCGACGTCGGCTTCGGCGTCGACGTCGACGTCGACGTCAACATTCGCTGACCAAATAACAGCCTGGCTTTCATATGCTTTTAACCACCCAGAGCCACCCAGTACGTTGCAACAGTACGCTTCCTGTTACCCACACTCCACACCCCCTCATACACCCATACCCCCACACCTTGCCGCGCCCTCATTTGGCAGCCAACGTGCGTTCGGCTCGTCTCTGTGGAATATGAAAATACATCAAAGTAGCCAAAGCCAAAGCCAAAGCCAAAGCCAACAATGACGACGACTACGTCGGCCTCATTCGCGTCCTCTGCCTCTGCCACTACCTCTGCCTCTGCCTCTGCCTCTGCCTCTTCATTTTCTTCATTCTCATTCTCATTCTCCTCTGCATTCTTCAGTTCGTCCTTGTCCAGACTCCTCGCACTCCTTCCCTTCCACACCCCGCTCATCTGCATTGTCCTTCATTTTCATTTCGGACCAAGTTAAAAAAAAAATATATATATATGCTTTTTGCGGGCGCAAAGTGAAGCGTTTAAATTTTAATAAACCACTCATTTTAATTTTGATTGTCACGGGGCAACAAAGTGGAGCTTGCGCTGTGGGTGGGCTGCTGGGGCTGGGGTGGGCTGCTGGGGCTGGGTCAGTCGGTGGCTGCTCGGTCCAGCTGTCTCTTATCCATGTGAATTCGCGCTTAACTGAATTGGCTCTACGTTTGAATAAAACTGAATGTGAACCGTTATGAACTGGTTCAGAGAAGAACATTTCGATGAGTTCTAGTAATAGAATCATAGGGAGCTGAGAGAAACAGCCATTGCTCGTATCAGAGGTTCCTCAACTCATAGTAAGTATGCTGACATTATCCAATGCTGCCAGACTGCTGGCATGAGCCACACAGTGGCAACACTGCTGCAATATATTTGTAGCTAGCAAAACTTTTGCCAACTGTAAATAAATGCATTTCAAGGCCCAACTCAACTGCTGCAACAGTCGAACGGTAAACAAGTTAGAATGCAGCAGTCGGGGCTGCTCGAATAGGAGATACCCTAAGCTCTGCGAATATTCGAATATACGGCTATTAATGATATTTATTTATGTATATTTCATATATTTTATATATTTTATATATTCGTGCTCCTGCATTTTCATATAACCATTCTACCCCGAATACCATTTCCCATTTGGAGTTCAGGGCATAAAAAGGCACTTAAATCGATTTGTCGTTGATCAATTATCGAATAACTGTGAATTGATGCAGCCGCCGCGCTAAAAAGTAGGCAATGAAATAAAGTGTTGCCTAGTTTTTTGCGCGGCAGCAGCGAAAAGGCCAATTAAATTGATGGAGAGCCACAATGTGTTGGCGGGGCGTGGCGTGGCGTGGCGTGAGGCGTGGCGCTCAATCAAAATGCAATTATAAATTGCAAATTAAATAGAATTGCAAAATAAATATTTAATATTAATAACAGCAAAAACAATTAAATAATCACGAAAAAAAAAAGCCAAGTAAATGAATGAAAATGCAGCTGAAATTGCAATGCAACAGCAATAACAGCAACAACAGCAACAACAGCAACAGCAGCTGTAGCAGCAGCTCAAATAAATTAATTAATAAAAAGCCAATTGGTCGCATGCCACCCACTGAGGCTGGCCGCCTCGTGGCAGCTGCTATCTGCCATCTGCCATCTGGGGGCGTGGCATGTACCGTGCGTCATTCTGCGCCTCGTTTTTGTCTTGATTTTTATTATTTAATTTTTGATTTTTAAAAATTTATGTAAATATTTAATTCACTTTGCCTCATTCCAACTTCCCTGCCCACGGCCAGCCCCACACGCACTCCTTCCCCCTCATCCACTTCCTTCCGCTGTGCACCCAACGACAAAAAAAAAAAGAAGCGCACTGCCGCGGTCAACAGTTCAGGCCCATTTTTTTTTTTCTGTTTTGGGTATCAGCAAATTGTGGAAAAAATTTTGTGAACATAAATAAGACTGACGCGAATATCAGCAAAATTGTTTTCTTGCTTAATGTGCATTTTGTGACAACCCGACAAATGTTAAACTGTGGACACACAGGCCAGAAGAAGAAGACACCAAATGGAATACTCACATTTGTCAGTTAGCACTCAAATGTGTTCAGCTAATTAACATGATTGATTAGCTTTGCGACCAAAGGAAGTGAAGTGTACAAACGTCTAGCGATAACAATAACGTTATCGACGCATATGTCGCCTGGCCACAAGCAGAACAAAAAAAATAATACATTTACATGTCACTCAATGAACACACACACACACAAGCGAGGCAGATAGAGTGAGAGAGACAGAGAGAAAGAGAGTGGGGAAAAAGCCAGCGATGCAATTAGCCAGCCTTTTATTGTTGTTGCATCAATTACCTAAAAATTAAGTCAACTGTAATTGATATATATTAATGGAAATTTGTGTTAATTAAATGCTGCCACATTCTGGCACGCATGAATATATTCTTACATATGTGTGAGTAAGTGTGTGTGTGCGTGTACGTTTCTCTTTCGGTAAGTGGCCAATCGTAAGAAGCTTTCATAGCAGTAACATCAAATACTCTCACTCAACATGGACAACAACAACTACAACTTATCTGCCCTCTCTCGCTCTCTTAGCTCGGCCAATAAGCTTTAAAGTACTTAATTCAATCAACATTATTTCTGTTGACCAGCGGCGGCTGCAGCGACGTCGCCTCTCTTTGCATTTCGATCAATTTTATTAATAATTCAATCAGTCAAAAATTATTTGAAACGCCCCAAAGGAAAACAAAAAAGTTTTCCGTTTTCTTTTTTTAATTTTTTTTATTTCTTGCTCGCTTTAGCGGCTGCTGCGCCGACCGCAACGTCAACAGCGACGCTTATATTGTATGCTATGTTTTGCTTTGCTTTGATTTCGCAGTCGACATAGTCGCTTAGAGAACGAGAGCGTGTGAGAGCGAGCGAGAGCGCAACGCAAGATGAAACACCAAGGAGCAGCAGCAGCAGCAGCAGCAGCAGCGGCGACGGGTCGAACCTCGAACGTCGAACGTTGAGTTATTTGCACAGCGCGCTCGTAAGAAAAGGAGGCAAAATAGTAAAAAAGAAAAAAAAAAAAGTAATCATAAAAAAAACAAAACGAAAGCCAAAAACAAACCAAAACGAAAGCAAATCAAAACGACAAACAAAACAAAACGAAATGCGACGTGCCGCAGTGGTAAGAAAAGTAAAAAGAAAAGGAAAACATGAAATAATTCCATTAGTACAATTTCTTTTGCAAGTACAAAGAGTAAATATGGCTGCTCGGCAGAGTGGGAGAGCCGCATATGCTGTGCGTAAGTTATTGAGAGGATGAGAGCGGCAAACGAAGTGAAGAAGTGAGGTAGTAAGTGAGTGACCTAGCGTGCGTGTGTGAGTGAGTGAGTGTGTTGAATAAGTGTGTTGAGTAAGTGTGTTGAGTGAGTTGACTCATAGGCCTACTTTGCCCGCATACTTCCGTTGACCTACTGCCCGTATCCTTTGCTAAAACATATTTGCAATTAGACTTGAGCAAATGCAAATAGTTGCTTGGCACCCAAACAGAAATTAACCGTTGGACCGGGGTCGGCGGCGG